CACGTCTCTTACTGTCAAGCTCTGTCCAGATATAATCAGTCTTGTGTTTCAAGCAAACCAGAGTCCTCTCTATCCCTTCTTTGTCGGTAACGGTGATTGCTTGTCGTGCTCGTAGCGGTCCACATCGTTCAGGTTCGTCTCTGGGTGGTGACGGTGTAGTTCTCGCTTTCTTAGTTTTCTTGGTTCTTCGTGTAGACCTTCTTCCCTTTTGTGCCTGGAATTGCACACAAATTCGTACAGGTGGTCTTTGATGATGGGTTTTTGTATGTGGTAGCAGTAATGAAACACTAAATTCTCGTAGTCCTAACTTTCAAAAGGTTACTTTTCAGCTGTTCAGCATTTATATTACTCTCCTGGAACAACCCTAAGCTACATACAGGCAGGGTTGGCAGATCTTCTTATATCATTTTTTTTTACATTTTATTATATTATATCAAAAGATTTTTTGGCAAAAATACTATTCTTCTTATACTATTCTCCTTGATTATTCTACTTTGAAGTTGTAAGTTTAAGCATTTGGCATGAATAATGATTAGTCCATACAGTATATTATGTAAAAGAAGTTGGTTATCGTATACTGTTGGTTATCGTATACTGTTTACCATGTGTATCATATGAACTCATGGCATCATGTAAATTCAAACTGATGACATTCTGGGACGTTTGATATGACGTCACCAATGTTTAGTTCAATTTTTGAAAAGTTGATTTTTGGCATTGATAGTGACCCTATCGCTGGCCTAAACATCAAACGGTATACAAAAAGGGTGCATGTATTGAGAAGGGGCAAATATCCACAACTCACAGTCGCCTTGAACATCATAATACATTAGCCTGCAAATATACATCATGCCCGACTAAGCCTTACGAAAAAGGCTCAAGGTCTAGGCTGTACTTATTACCGCTCCCCAGGTGGACCAATTGCCATGCATACTGTATTGTTCCGACGTTTATTATATACTTACGTTGCTTAGCAACACCAAAGCCAAGAGCAATATAACAAGTAACTTCATGCCTTCAACAAATATCTAAACACCTACGAAAAATAGTTTGCATTGAAAAGAATATTACGTTTATTTTGAAAAAGATACGGAAATATGGAGAGAAAATTGGTTGTGAGGCTCTGCGCTAAAATATGAGAGTATTTTTGTCAAGAATGTTGGCTTATATAGTTGAACAGCGCGTAGAAATAAAAACAGTAGCGCATTGATGATTACGCAATTACACCAAGAGAAAGCCTTCTTTCTTTTGAACACCCAGTTTAGTAGAAATAAATGTTACAGTCAGCTGTACATTTGTACAATGTTCGATCAGTACTGTACTGATCGAAATGATAGTGACGAAACAACTTTAATTCAGAAAATAAATCCGTGCACACAACATATAACCGCCATGCTCTATATCAAATTAACTATAGATTTTAAGGTGTGCGACTCCGCATAAATTGTACGTTGATTTACTACAGCATCTTGCTTGTATCTTCACAAGGTAAACTACTGGATCATTTTAGTTAATCAATGAATATCTATGATAGATCTTGGGTTTGTTGCTCCGTGATCTCTTGCCTTAATATAACCTGGAGATCGATTTTCCACTCGTCTACTTCATAGAAAATGTTAGATCTGGACAAAATAGCATATACACAAAACAACACACAAACTTACTAGCAGTTAAATGATATACTTTCTCTTCACTTTAATTTCACCACCTTCAGCGCTGGTCAACCAGGATCGATTCCGTAAATTTCACATCCAAATATTTAGAACACAGCATTCCCGTGTACTACGTTGCAATACAAAAGATTCGCAAGGCAATGTTGCCATATATACATGTATACCTACTTAGGGACGCCAAGCAACCGCTTTGTGTACAACACTGTTTTGGGATACATGTTTAATGAAAATAACTACCGTTTTTTTAAATTTCAAATTCAAGTGCATAATTGCAAGCGGGAGATATTTTTTTATATCTTTACCTCCGGAGGTTACGTCTTCACTTCGGCTTGTTTGTTTGTTTGTGTGTTTGTGTTTATTGTTTGTCAGTACGGTAATTGAAAAGATATCAGACGATTCAATGCGAAGGTCTGAATTTGAAGGAATAATGATAAATTCATAATTTATTCTCCATAATGCGCATGGAGTGTGCAAAACTGATTGCATGATAGGTGCATGATATTTTGCATGATACTGACTTCCAAGGTATGCAGTCTCTGAGTGTCCTCTATAGTTATATTGCATGTTTACAGTATTTCGAGGGATTGGAGGAATTTTGGAGATTAAAATTTTCAGATTCCCCTGGTTCTATGAAAATACATCTGCATATAATCCTGTGAAAATTGCCGATGGGAAAACATGATATCATATTATATAGTCTGCATTTTTTTTTCCCCCGTTCGACTTAGCCTTAGGGAAAGTTGCGGCAAGAACTGAACTCCATCATCTTCATATATAGTGGTCATGAGAAATTAAGGCTTGTAAGAAGAACTGCTCCATACTCAGACATAATATTAAGACTGTCTACTTGTCTCCTCCTACGCGTGCATGAATGCTTTACTTGTTTGTCAGCAGTGTGGCAGTTCTAAGAGAGTTTAAAGGGATTGATTTAGGATTCATTCTGTTTTTTCACCCTAGGTCTTTTTCACCATCGCATATGTGTAGGAAACGATACTCCAAACAAAACCCAATTTTAGGATGATAGAAATGGAGACGCAACATTCCTGCCATGCCTCCTTTTTGGAACTTCTCGCGTCCAATATATATATATATATGTACGGTAAAGCTCATGAAGTGCAGTCTCTTCATTTAATAACTGTAAGCTTTTTATCCACAACCATTTACCCTGGACTCAGTTTCGCACCCATTGCAATAGTCAACTCAAATATTTTAATTATTGCTTATAATCAATGAAATTTTAATTCATGTTATTTCATCATATTTTCAATATACTTTAGTAATGCTATTACTTTGACATGTAATCTCGAAATAACATCACAGAAATCTAATATTAATTCTATAATAATCTCAAAATATATACACTATATATACAATGCATTCCAGCAGCAGGATCATGCAATATTTCATATTACTAAACATGTTTAAAATCGTTCCAATTAACCTTTCTCACGATGACGAATTAATATCCGCCATTTTTGGGTGGCATCTAATTCTCGTTAACCAGTGCAGAAAATTAAAACAATGTGAAAAGCAATTTTTCAAAATAAACTAACCATTTGCAAAGCAAATTTACCATCATTCGTCCAAAAAATTATAAAAAATCGCTGTTATGTAGACTTATCTCGCAGACTTTGGCTGAAAAGCCACGCAAAAATGGCGGCGTGAGAAAGGCTACTAAGATTTTGAGTGTTCACGTGCCAATTGTCAGTTTCATTATCAATCAGTTAGTCTTCGAAACCTCGGCCACTTTAAGGAGTAAATATGCAAGTCATTGTTACACGTCATGCTGATTGGACAGTTTCTTCATCATCGACGTTTCTGACCAATCACATGCCAGAATTACGCAAGATTTGCAACATCTTCCAGTGTGGGATTTCGACTCCATTTGCCATAACCAGGAAGAATTGATCGATGGAAAATGACTTCGTGAACAACATTTCTCTACAAAGAGAATGAGGTTAGTCTATCGATATTAAACAAAACTAACCGTTGTTTATATTGATAATACTGGATAGCTCTGTCAGTACTAAGCTGTTCTCCCCAGAGATAGGGTTACCGGTATACCCTTCTTGCATGTTCATGCGAATGAGGCGGAATTACTCTGACGAAAGCACCTGAACTGTGATTATATAGATTCATGTTTCGCATGCAGTTTATGAATGCTGACCCTAATCCTTACCCTGACCCTAACCCATAAACATCAAGACATGAATCTATATCCTGGACTATAATCGATGCGCCATCAACGACACCTTCAAATAGAATCGATACTGATATTTAGAAGAAACAAGAACCTTGAATTTTCTCCATTCTTGTTGTTTCTGTTGTTCAATATATTGTTTCTGAAGATCTTCCTAAATTGATAAAAAGAGAGATCGCTACTACGTGTACAGTAACGTTTATACAATACGTATAGTATTATTTAACTGAGCAAAGACGTTGTTACCTCTCCTAAATTGTTGTCCATAGCTTCGTAACATTGTGATAGAAGAGACTTTGTGATTTCATCAACATCTAGGAGGAATATTTATGAATAACTATTACCACCTCATTTAGTGTATTAACATCACCGCTACATCCATCACCGTCACACCATCATCACCACCACCATCATCATCATCACTACTACCATCATATTCATAAACACACCACCATACCATCATTACAGCCAACTATTTCCACCATAACTTTGCACCATATAAACCACCATCATCCTAACCACTACAATAACTACCATCGTTATCACCCCCAATTATGTAACCCCAATTATGCAAACTTAACCATTAAATCATACACTACCTACCATTAAAATCATGCTGTGAGATCACACCCAGCTGAACATAAGACGAAGTGACTACGGAGTAAGCTATCCGTTTCTTTCGTAACACAGTACACTCACCAAACGAATCGCCTGGACCCAACTTACCAACGATCACTTGTTTCTGACAACGATCCTTAAATATAAATGTTAAATATGCTTAACAAAGCTAAACGTTATTTATACTGGATAGCTCTGTCAATATTCTAAACTGTTCGCCCTAGAGGTCCAGTAAAGGATCACCTCTTAATGGACTATAATTTTAATACAGGAAGAATCCTAAACTAAACTAACTTTATTTATAGATGGATAACTCTATCAGTTCTGAACTGTTCTCCGTAGAGGTTCAGTAAGGTTCATCTCTTATTGATCCAATATTACTACAGGAGGAAACCTAAACTAAATTTATTCATACTGGATAGCTCTATCAGTTCCAAACTGTTCTCCTACAGGTCCAGAAAGGCTCATTTTCAGTGTTACCACAGGGCAAAACCAGAGTACATTGAGAAATGTGGTGTTCGGTAGAGTGAAACTGTAAGCTTCTCAAGAGACAAAATTGCTTGGGATAACAACACACCTTTGTTCCATCTCTGTTGGCCTTGGCCACGTCGACGCATCGTTTCAGATTGCAAGTTCCTTCGCTGATAAACCCAATAACCCGACACGACTCACCTTCGTTTACGAGAACTAATGAAAGTAAAGAAATAGGAAATTCTCTGACTAGTCTAAATCCTTGTCATTCAAATTCCAAATTATGCCAACCTGTTCCAGGGCGAAAGTGTTTCCACCGAATGAGGTCGACAATCTTTCCCAAAGCAACCTTGGAACAATTTTCAAACAGTCTGCACGATTGCATCAGTTCCAAATTTTGATTCGTTACTTTGCTATCAACAAGCTAAAATAAATATTCGAATGTTCAACATAAGCAAAGGTCGGATATCAGATACAACACGAACGCGAATGTTGTGAATGGCTTGTGACATGTCTTGATGAGAACATTCGTATTCTTTAACAATTTAATAAAATAAATTAATGATATTGGTGAGAACTTCAACTTATGTTCTTCAAGTTTATGTAATGAGTTTAATGAGTTTATTAATGAGTTTAATGAGTTTCACAACGTCACATAAAGCCCAACCTCCACCACGCTCCTCGCTGGAGCGTAGTGGAAAGAGCCTGGGTACGCCTTGTTTCCTTGTGTCTATAGTCGGTGACCATTGTAAAGACTGAATTACATACAGCATAAACAGAAAAGATATAGACCATTCTATCGGCGATCATGGCCTGACCACGACCAAATGAAAACCCTCCTTAAATTAAATAGTTCTTTTTGGAATGAGATACGGAATACATGTGTTAACTACCTGTTTCATTTTTTTGAAATCTCTTGCCGAAATTTTCACAAATTCACAAGGTTCTAATGTCATCACGGAAGAAATTCTGTAAAAAATAATATTTATATAGAAACGTGTAGTACATGACTAACATATATAAAGAGTTCTATATGGAAAAAACATTTTATAATTTGTATTTTTACTATGAATACCTTGCGTTGCTGTGATCAAAACTGTTATCGGATTCGGGTGGATGTAGCGTACCGAAGCACTGTCCAGCAACTAGCTAAAAATAATAAAAAGTTAAAATTGATGATCCAGTTGGTGTGGCCTTGTAGGAGTTTACCTACTTAATAAATTGAGATCCAGGTGTAAGGGTTTGGTGGCAAAGTAGATAGTTCGCCCAGGTACGATTCAAATTTCAGTCGCATGTGAAAGGAGGTTGATCATGCATGGAAAATTTCTTTTATCCAACGTTTGACTCTGCAAAACACCGCACGTTTTCTCCGAATATCATGTTAACTTTCCTCCTGTAATACCAGACCAGTTAAGGCCGTTTTCCACTAGGCGAATTTATTCGCGCGAACAGATAAAAAGTAGGAAGCGATCCTACTTTTTCGCCGCGAATTTTTTCGCCGACCAATCACGTTGCCGGATTTCGGTTTTCGCTTCGCGTCGCGCGAAAAAATTCGCCTAGTGGAAAACGGCCTTTAGAGATGACCCTTTCTGGACTTTTAGAGAGAACAGATTACAACTGAAGCCCCGTTTACACTACGCTCAATTTTTGGTACGGCACGGATAAAATTGGTACCCGCGTACCACTTTTTTGGTTCTTGGACTACCTATTTAGGTAGTACTGGTACAAGAACCAAAAAAGTGGTACGGTACCAAAAATGGAGCATAGTGTAAACGGGGCTTTATAGAGCTATCCACTGCTCTTGGCCTAAACCTTTTTCCGAAAAAATGTACAATAAAAACCTTTTCCGACTCTATATCTTCGTCACAGTGCGCAACATTCTTTTCATTACATGGTATCACACTTCCTTTTAGTATGAGATAGAGTTCATTGTGGCCGAATACTACAAAATAAGAATTCAATACTAAGATGGTTTTCCAGATGTTCAGACTTGAAGAAGTACTGTTTCATAAAAGTCTAAAGTTATAGACTTTTATGAAACAGTACTTCTTCAAGATGACATTTGGAAAGAATAAACTTGTTGAACTACCATTATAAGAGTATTACTATTAAAACACACTACATGCAAATATATACCATAAATAAGAGAAACGAACTGTCTTAAGGTAAATGTTTAAAATATTACCAGTGTAGCCGGTATTATTCCATTTCTCAAGTTGAATAACCGTGGAAAGTTCTCGTAAGATTTTCAAAGGAATTCGTGACGTTAGTTCTGTGAAATACTGCAAATCTTGGTAGATTGCTTCTTGGTCGCTCCGTGTGCGTTCAAATGGCCTGATTAAGAAAAAAATCTATATCTCAAAATATAGTTCGTTCAAATTTCGCAATGTCAGATAGACTCAAGTTGTAAAATCAAACAATTCGTCAGCGGTTTGACGTTTGCCGTTAGACAGAGTATAAAATATATAATGAAATAATAAAGTAGGGCGCAACATGACTCAATGGTTTAATAGACAACTTGCATGTTAGACTAATTTTTGATTTAGGCAAAAAAATTAAATTCCCGTAAAAAACTTATTAAAATCAGTAAAATTGCAAAATTTGGTTACGAAATGTTTTCAGTATTTGCATATTTTCAGTATGTTTCTACAGTATTACGTGCGGAAATTGTTACCATTTTTGAGCCGAACATGGTAAAAGGTAACAATTTCCGCACGTAATACAAATATACTGAAAATATGCAAACTTTGCAAGGCTATATTTTCTGTATTTTACAACCGATTTCGCAACCAAATTTTGCAGTTTACAAATTTCATTATGTTCTTTTTAACTGTTGTGTTTGATTCCCTTCTCTTTACTTAGATTAAAATTTAGTCTAACATGCAAGTTGTCCAATGATTAGCTGTTAATTAGCAAGTTAATTAAGACTAATTAAGGTTAGTTGAGGTTAATTAATTTGTTATAACCTACAATTTTCGGAGAAGTCGTTTCAATGAATGAGATTTAGCATTCAGTATTCCATCCTTTGTGTGGGTCACGTGTTGTTTGTGTAGCAGAGCGAGATGTTCACGGATGTTGTGACTTGTTGCATAATTGGAGCTGGGACAATAATGCGCTTGACGATGATCTGAATTGAGAATTCAAAACAAGTAAACAACTACTCTAACACAAAGTCTAGAAAGATATAAATGTTTTTCCCATGAAAATCGAGGCTATATCAATTAGCTACAGTATTGATTAAACAATTCATTCACATTTTCTTTGACAATTATTTATCAGTTTGTTTTCAGAATTTAATATAACTCGTTTGCGCAAATTAATTATTCGTTTTGAATAAGCGCGTATTATTGCGATGACGCATATATTGTACAATGTTACAAGCAAGAATTCTACATTATTTTTCCGTACCATGTGGAATCAGAGACGTTTCTGCCCCATTATGAGAATTATAATCCAGCTTTCTAGGAAAATAAGGGTATCATAGTTTTAGGGTGGAAAATAGTGCTGGACCGATGCATTAAGATTCTTGAAGATTTTGAGAAATTACCCATTGCCATTTGCATGTGGTTTAAGATCTAGAGCTGGCAATTTTTCTTCTGAAGATTTCAAAATTTTGGAGTAGTTTTTCATAAATGTATCATGAGCATCTTTTGATGAATCACTCCTTCTGTGTATTAAACAATTAAAAAGCACAATTAGTTGATAACTGATTCACACCAGACAGATTTCTCTGGACAAATTTGGGCAAAATACGATAGTTCATCAGATAATTTGTTTTGTGTATAAATGTGATATAAAGTAGACTGTCACATTAATATTGGCCCATCAGAGAGATGATGTGCTTGAGGGATGACGTGCCTCCATATTGTGTAAATTTGTCAATTTTTACCTATTTCCAAGACCTTCGATTGAACATAACTGTTTCAGTGTAGAGTAACTGATCTTAGGTTTTCCAATAATTATTGGCACTATTGAAAAATCAAAGTTAATCGTTAATATTAAATTAACCCATTGAGTGGCAGCACTCTCCCCTTGACGAGTAACATCGTCTAGAGTTAGACAGAGAAAAATAATAAAGTAGGGCGCATTTAAAATACATGTATGACCAGATTAGTATGACCAGAAGTCTATGCATACACACAATATTTTATAATAAATACATTTCTATATTAATAATATTCCGCGCGTTTCGCTTACATTGATGTGATGTTTTTGCATTCTCCAAACTAAATTTGCAACTCCAGCCATTGTTACCCTTCATCTTCAGACCATCCAAAGCCATTTCCCATCAAAAAAATAAAATTCTGGAGTCGTATTTGCGATAAAAGCAAAATATTACAGTTTTCCTCGCCAACAATATATGTTTACATTCCACACGTGTATATTAAAATGTAAACAAAACCCGTTGTCAAGAGGTTGCCAAGGCATGTAAGATGGTATGCACCCCCCTGAAGTTCCAATATGGCCGGCAAAACATTGTCAAAAAGTTTTAAAATATCAAAAACAAGCGTTTTTCTTTGACGTTTTATAAAATGGACGAACAAAAGACTGCTGTGGAAGAGAGAACAGCTTTAGAAGAAGCTACAGTAAGCTTTAAATAACTTTCTATGCAAGTTTCAGCAAAATATAAAATAATTTCCTGAAAAAATCTCCATCAATATTTTTATTAACTAATGTATTCCTTTGCAGAAATGCGTTGACGGGCTGTACGATCTGCGAGATCATTATTTTGTAAATAATGGAGTGGAGAAAGCGTCGGAAAGAACGAGAGAAATTGGCGAAAAAATGATGGAAGTTAAAGAACATTTGGACAAATTGCTTGGTTTGTAAACCTGTTAGTTTTAAAATATTAAAAGCATGTCTGGAGAAGGGTTTGCATCCAACAGCCTATTTAAACATCTATTAATTCAAAAATCGTGTGATGAAAATCAGTGCCCAGCATAAAGCACATAAATAAGCCATCACAAACTGAAATTTTACAATATTTATTATTAAGTAAACATTTTGTCAATGTGCATTGATTATGATTCCCACCTAGTTCATCACTCACAAAAAATCAAAAATGTTCAACGCAATCTTTAAATGTCAACACAGAATTTTTTAATGAAAAACCTATAAATTTGTTGCAGAGAAAATGCCAGCAGCCAGTTGCTATTTTGAACCCTGAATAATAGTGAATAATAATTAGTATTGTAATCATAGAAAATAATTTTCTTAGGTATGTGTAACAAGAAGAGCCAGTATTTTTATCTCCTTGGCAAGACATTGAATGTCATGGCTACGTATGATCCCCAAGCACAAGAAGCATTATCTCGAGCTGTGAAACTTGATCCATTATTAGTGGATGCTTGGAACTGTCTTGGAGAGTGTTTGTGGAAGAAGGGGGATGTTGAAGCTGCTAAGAATTGTTTTACTGGAGCGCTAGAACATGTATGGTGATTTGATAGAATGGAAGGAAAGAGGAAAAAGAGCGGAGGAAGGAGGAGCTAGAGGGAGCTAGAGGGAGGGAGGAAGGAAGGATATAATGATAGGATGGGAAGGAAATGGAAGAGAAATTAATTAATGTCCTAGGAGAAAGGAGATGTTAAAGCTACTAAAAATTGTTTCATGGGGCTTTTGAATCTGTAGATGAGTGATCAGTTTTGAATCTTGTTTTAATTTTGTTTCCATTGGATAAAAAAACAATCCTTTCAATTTTTTCTGCAGTCTAAAAACAAAATGTCTTTACGAAGTCTTTCAATGGTGCTACGTCAGCTCGGAAAAGGTAGTTTAAAATACTGTTTAACTTGTGCAACCATGCATAACGTGCTGTATTTTAACAAAAAATCACTCAATGTGAATAGCTTGGTTTCAGAATCCCAAGAGAGGGTTGACAATATCAAATTGAGTGTTGAAAAAGCAAAAGAAGCTGTGTCTTTGGATGTCACTGATGGTGTGTCTTGGTGTAAGTACAGTACCCTAACCATTATAACATTAGATCCTGCTGATTCTTTGAAATCCCAAGGCCATTTTCATTCTTCATCCACAGAAGACTAGCGGCCTATTCAGGGTGTAAGCCAGAAGTAAAAAAATCTGTGTTTACCTGAAATTGGGAAATTTATTTTAGCTGAAGCCGGGCATTTCTTTGTGGGTCTTGGGGCATGCAGTTCCCCCTCTCGATTTTTAAAATTTTTGTGTCTTTGAAATGGCATTTCCCGCATTTTGGGAGTAATTTTGAGCAAATGTAGTTATAAACATGTTTTTAATGGCGTATTAACAACATTGAATTTCTATAACTATTTTTTGGCTGACCCAAATTGGGAAATAGCGACCTCAAGGTAATTGGGAAAACCGCGTTTAACGCGGAATTTTTGACTGTAGCTAACACCCTGCTATTCAAGTCACATGCCAAGAAAGAGGTTCACTACTCTCTTCAAGAACTTAGGAAACTGGAGACCTGATACATTTTATGGTACTTGGTAGTAAAGGCTACCAACATCACTAATCAATTAATATATATCCACAGATATTCTAGGCAATGCATATCTCTCGTTCTTCTTCAGTGGTGCCCAGTCTCCCGGTATGCTCAAACAATGTTTGGCTGCGTACGCACGCGCAGTAAGTACCAACAATAGTTGCCAAGTTCCAATGCTCTTCGTTTATTCCTCATAATGTATCATTGGCTTAAAAATAGATTTTGATTGCACTTTGTCTTTTTTTCCAGGAAATGGACTCCGTTTCGTCCAGTAATCCTGACTTGTATTTTAATCGTGCAATGGTGAGACTAAACCCCGCTTTCCACTAGCGAATTTGTTCGCGCGAAGCAAAGCGAAAAACGAATTTCTGCAAAGTGACTGGCAAGCGAAAAAAATGGACGGGAAAATTTTTTTGCTAATTTTTTTTTGCAACTTCGCCTAGTGGAAAACGGTTTAACAGAACTGAACAGATTACGAACCGTACACAAATTAGTCTATTTTTTTCTTTTCAGACGCAAATTCGTATAGTTTTCTCGTATCCAAGCAATTTCGTGCAAATTGATTACCGTTCCAAATCATGTGTGGATGGAACACGAAAGCGTGCATTGTAGCGTGTTTTTTTTTAATGTGTCCTTATGCATAAAAATTCCATCCACTTATGCTTGTAGAGAATGTTTAATTATTTACTGTCTGTTCATGCAATGTACATTTTTCTAGGTTTACAGATATCAAGAGGAATACAAACTTTGTCTTGAAGGTTTTAAAAAAGCTTTAACATACGATCCCGCTTGGGAAGATGCGGTCAAACTTCAGGAACAACTCCTGAAATATCTGCAGAATATTTCTGATCTCATTCAAAACAAAGTAAGATGATCTCGAAGATTTTTAAGATTTAAGGGAAATCTAAGCTAAGAGCTTTCACAGTGTTTCAGGTGCTATAATAATCTCTAGTTTTCGTGCATGTTGGCTTTTTTTGCCATCCTAAATCCCCTCCTTGGTTTCTATCAAAAATTGCTTGATTTCTGTACTTTTACGTTTTGACGACAGGACTCATAATTATATTCCTATACAACATGTAATGACCACATATATCCTATTACTGGAGTAAGATTGACTGCAGGGCCAGGGGAAGAGGCCAATTTCGTAAAATCGTATAAGGTTACAATATATTTTTGTGCTATTTGCATCTCAAAAAAATTCCCACTTTTCTCCTACTTTTCGTGAAATTCTAGTTCTAATTTTCCTGAAATTCTAGTGCTACTTTTCTCCTAATTTTGCTGAAATTCTAGTCTTACTTTTCCTGAAATTCTAGTCCTACTTTTCCTGAAAATCTAGTGCTACTTTTCTCCTACTTTTCCTGAAATTAGAGAGTCCTTTTCCTGAAATTCTAGTGCTACTTTTCTCGTACTTTTCCTGAAATTCTAGTGCTACTTTTCCTGAAATTCTAGTGCTACTTTTCCTGAAATTCTAGTGCTACTTTTATCCTACTTTTTTTACACAAGGATACGAGAAAGCTTGTGCATGACTTAGTGCGTCTTCAATTTTCTATTATGACAGGGTAAACTAAAACCAAAACGTCTCAACACAATGATCAATTCCTTGAAAGAATCAGACCTGGGCCCCTACAGCGGCAGCAAGTACACGAGTAATTCTGGTCAGACAATCAATTTAGAACACGTGATGTTAAATAGTTTGAATGTTGGTTTCAATGAGAACAAAGTGATTTCAGGAAAGGTTGTTGGCATCGTCCCGCAGGAAGAACCGATACCATTGTAAGTATCAAGCTTTCCTATGTAAGAAACCTCTTTATACTGCACTGCTCTATCCAGGGGTGGAAAAAATAGGCGAGCACTGCTCGTAGAAAATGTTAAACAGCTGCAGGAAATTCCTTTGAATGAAGATTTGCTTTTCAAAATTTGAAGGAAACCTTAACACCCATGTCCCACTGTGGGTGCAACAACATATGGTTGACAGACATTATTCCTTGAATGTAGAACATTATATGTTTATGCACATTTAGCACAAAAATACTCCGTTGGTCTGCAGAAAATTTTTGTCTCCAGGTTGTGCTCCCAGGAAGAAAATTATTTTTTCCTGACTTGCTCTATTAGTTCTACACTATTCTCCCTGAAGATCTAGCGAGGGCCATAGCACTTATTGCAAGAGAAAACCTAGTAGGCTCAGCTCCATCACGTTTGGTAGAGTCAAATACACGCTTTCGATAATTACATCACAACTACACTATTTTCAACTTAGGCCAACCTTGAATGGAAAGGATTTCAAGGTTTTTTCTCACTGGCTATGGTCAGAGAAGCACTTGAAATCCTTTCCATTTAAGGTTGTCCTAAGTTGAAAACAGTGTAGTTGTGATGTAATTATCGAAAGGGTGTATTGGAACTACTTCTCTCGCATGGCATGTGATGGAGACGAAATTCTAATCGGGAAACTACAGCCAGGAGATACAGGCAACATCCATTGTGCAACACACAATTGTTCTATTTCTGTTTCTTCGCAGCACTTTCTCCATAGTTGACAAAGAAGGTACATGTTTTCCTGTGACGTTGTATAACCTGCGCACAGGCTGTGGAGTGATTGTTGGTGACACTGTAGCAATACCTGAACCTTATGTCCAGTCGACTGACTTCAGTGAGAACGATAAGGTAAATCTCGCTTATCAATATCATGCAAAAGTAGGTCAACCATACTGCTTGATTCAGATTGATTCAGATTGCTCACATATTATGATACAGGTCAAAATCTAACCTATAGTTATGTAAATAGTGTTCTAGTCCTTGTTTTTAATGTATGTCTACTTGTTGTTTTATATCAGGTTGGTATTCATGTCTTGTTGACTATACCTCCAATCATTGTAATAAAAGAAGAAATTTTAATAAAATGTCTTTTTGATAATTCGCCATTTCTATTTAGATTTTCAAATTTTTATCCGTACGTGTGGACAGTCCTGTTGTGATGGTGGTGAACAAGAGAAAACTTGGTAGGGATAAATTATCGCCCTCTGTTCTGTCTTTTCAAGCAAAGAGCGAGTGATTTGCCATGTGGAGGTAAAGAATTCTATCCGCGTCTTTGCCGGGAAAATTCCTGTCCATTCGAGTTATTGTATTAGGCTGTACGGAAATGGTTTCTGTAAACAGAACAGCTGTTTGGGGCGAATCCAGTAAGCGGGATTGGGCACGAACAAGCGAGATATTACGAATGTGGCAAGATTAGCCCTGTAACAGGAACTCGCTTGAAACTGGCGAACGCTTACTGTCAGATATATTTAACTGTGGAAGGTTGCTGCTTCTTTGCCTGCTTGTTTTCCAAATGCAGACGGTATAATATATTTCTATGTATAAAACACTCGCCAAAATCCAACCCGCTTCTTGGGCTTGCATAAAATGTTGTATATTTATATACATAAAACCTGCATGTGGCTAGCCTGCTCGCAGCCCGCAATTTCGTTCTAAGGAAACCGGAAATTTGGGTCAAATTTTCGGGTGGGGGCTGCTGAGCAGGCTAACCTGTGGCTCGCATTGACATATGTTAAAAATATGTACATCCTACACATAGAATTTCCATATACATACATATACATACAGTATTATCTTTTATAACGTCCACATGAACTACATATCATTCGTAAACTTTTCTTGATTATTTTTCCTCCGTTTCTTTTTACTAGTGCGAGCCGCTTTTTTAAATAGTTGTTCATTAGTTCCCGCCAGTGGGTTGCTTTCATATGTCTGTTTAAGCGGTTCTTTGGATGCGAGATCAAATGCTTTCTGTTTTTGTTGTTCATTGTGTTTGATTACCGCGAGATTTTGAGCATTCTTGTAACCTGAAAGTTATGGCATTGACGGTAAATTAGTTGAACTGCTTTCATACCCAAATTCGGGTCAAGGACCTACCTAAAATGATCATGTTTTGTGATTCGCTTTCAGAAACAAAAATGATCATTGTTCGTGACTCGTTCTTTAGAAAGACGATTTCTACAGTTTTATTGTTTTTCATTGTTATAAAGATGATGACCCGCAAATTTAAAAGAATAAACTAAACAATATTTGACTGGACAGCTCTGTCACTTTTAAACTGACCTCCCTATAGAGATTTCGAGCAAAACACGCACTGTACACAAGACCTAATCGGGAGCACTTGCGAAAAATGCAAGCTAATCTCTCCCGATGGCACGTCCCTGGCTTTGATTCCAGTAGAGCGCTCTGACCACCAAATTATAGAGACCAGTTGCAGTTTAAAGAGCTAGCCACAAGGTGATTGCAGACTTTGCAGTGTAGGTACAAGCATGAATTATTCTGAATAATTGGAAAGAAGAGTTGGATATACCAAGCGGAAAACAATATGATTCACTTAAATTTGTGCCTATTTTTCGTCGGAGAAAACCATCAACAACAAAATTTAAACTTCTGTTCTGTCTAGCGAGGTGCCCAAAACTTCAAAATCATTCGCGAAGAGTGCCTACCTGATTTTAAATTTTCAATGAAGCCTCCTGATTCCGTCTTCTTATCCGAATGGTCGACCATTTTCGGAATTCCAAAAAACGTGCGCACGGCTGGAATACGCAGGAAAAGCATTTGCCCGAGTGAAAATGTATTGGAAGTCATCCAGTAAGTGAATAGACCCTGTGTGGAGAAATGAAAAAATTGGTACAGATTTTTCTGTGTATGAAAAGGTGTTGGTTGCCTCAGGTTGTCAGTGTATGTAACTTTTACTTCTGTGCTTCCATGACGGGGGTTCATTTCTATATCAACATTTTTGTGGCATCTCACTCGAATAATATTTGATGGGTATTGAAGATGGAATAATAAATTTCCACTAGATAATTTCCTTCTAGAAGACCCTTCAAATATTGTTCATTTCTATAGACTATAGTATACAATTGCCTGATTATAATTTTGCCTCAGTTACATGTGAGTCTAAGAGTAGCTACTTCCAGTTTGCCGCTACCAGACACCACAGGTTTACTACAATTTCCTCTTGTAGTAACAATGCATGAATCGGTAAAGAATGACCCTTACTGGACGTCTACGAAGGACAGTTTGGAACTGGTCCTATACTGTAGAGTTATTCAGTTAACTATAAAGATTTAAAATCTTACAGTTGCAAACTTGGCTGTGAGAGGAATCATTAAAATTGCCATGACGCGAAAAACTTGTTTGACATTCTTAAACTGTGGATTGCTCACACCAGCTTCGGCTCCAGCCTGGAAAAAAGTAGAACATGATTCTAAAACTTCACATGAACTATAATGTGGAATAATTAGCATTTTGTCATTAAAAATATTGTGATGCACCCAAGGTCCACAAACCAGGAAACATTGTTTCCTCAAGGGTAAACAGTCGATACAAACATCTACATACTTTGCCATCTACACAAACAAACTTGCATGCATATAGTTCAACTTGAGCCTGATAAACAAACTAGAAATTCTAAACCCTTTTCTTGTTTCACTTTGAAATTCCACATTCAATCCTCATGTAATACACCTTCCGGATAGTAATGAAATCACTTTGGCCATAGAGCCTCGTTTTCATGCGTATGACATTAGTTAAAGTGCAATGTCACAAAAACAAGGCAATGTAGCCAAGGTGATGTACTTTCCAGAAGGGTGTATTTCCCTGAATATCAACCTTTACTTGACAGTGGAGAAAAAGCAAGGATGGCATGTTACACTTTCCCCTCCCTGTTCACTAACTACAGCACAGTATATTACAGTCTCCCACCTCAATAGTAAGCAACATTGAAGCACTGCACAGTATCGGTAAGAGAAAATATGGATCGGCAATGGTAAGATCTGGAAACCACAGGAGGCCACCAGTTTTCATTGATTCCACAGGGAGATTTGCCATACGTCTTATACCAACAAAGAATGACAGAAATAGTGGGATTTGGACAACCGGAATGATCAGTGACTACAAAATTGAAAAACATGCAGGAGAAATGTGAATTATGAAACAATCTGGTCGCACACAGTGATTAGTGCACATCTGGCTTTCATCTTGATAAACAGGGATCAATTCGTTTTGAACACTTGTCTAATATAATTTCATCTCGGTAGGCAGAGTGCTTCCAGTTTGACTTTAACAACCACAATTGGTTTCCTGTTTGACATACGCTTGTCTCTCCCTGTAATGATGGGCCAATAACTGATGGATGGCTCCTCAAGAGAAGTGCCAGAGCTATCCAAAATAAACACAGTTTAGGTGTTCATTTTCTAAGTTTTTAATTATACAGTACCTTAAATGGATGGCAATTATGTTTTGAGAAAAGATTTTGTAAATCCCTCGACGTTTCTGCTTTTTTTGTGTTATCCTGTTGATTAGCAACCTCTCGCATCTGTTGTGTTAAAATATCTAACTCTGGTTTAATATTGTTCAATTTAGCTGCATTTGCCTGGCCTCGTATAACAAGCGGCATCATCAGTGTTCGAAATACTATAGTTGTTGCTACTATGGTTGCCCACCAAGGCAAGCCTATGCCGACATGAATATTTTCCATGACTTGCTGTACCAGTCCAATAGGACTGTTTCCACCCAGACCTAGGCTTTCAAATGATGGTTCGGAAATCTGTTGTGCAATATTGGAAATGACTTCTGGTTCACCAAGTATCGAGCCTGGATAGAAAAGCAAAATATTTAATTCACTATATTAACCTACAATTGAGAAAATACAGTAGGCCATGGACTTCCTACTTTGGTCATTTTCAAGTTTGTGACAAGTTAGAGCCTCAAAAATTGTGCATATGAAGCGCTTTCCAGAGGCACTAAACTGTTTCTAAATCTTACAAAATCTTGAAGGTTGCAGCTATGTCAGTGACCAACATGTGCATTGCAGGGACGCCGGAACTGGGGGGGGCGGCTGCTAGGGGGGCAGAAGTGCCCTTTTAGTTGTAAAATAATACGTGATAAATCACATTTCCAACAATGCTTTTTGTAGGAAAATCACGAGATTCAGGTAATTTATAGTTTATATTTATAAAAATTTTGGGAAATTTTTGGAATTTAGAAAAATAGTTTGAAGAAATGGTGAAAATTTAAGATATCTGGAAAAAATTTTGGCTTCACGGAAAATTTTTGTATGTCCGGAAAAAATTTTTGACAAAACATTTTGCAGTGAAAAAAAAATTTTCAGTAAAGGTACCCTTGGTGTGCGTCCGCCCCCCTTTGCCCTATTATCGTTCCGGCGTCCCTGGTGCATTGGGTTAACCAACTTACCCATTTTAAATTCTTCACTACTAGACATGAATCTTGCTGTTGTTAGACCCCAAGGAATGCCAGGCTGGCTTCTGTTGAAATTTGTGTATAAGTTTGAGTGACATTCCATGCTAGAAAACTGGCAAATGAAGTAACTGTCAGTGGCTACACAGGTATGGTATGCTTGAATTAAAGAAGATGAATTATGGCTAGTGTTCATATGTGAAATTTCATATGATTTAATTCTTGAACACCATTTGTCAGACTCTAGATCCTAATATCCAAGCATTAAATGTGATAAGATGATACCACATTATATTTCACTAGATGTTAGGGAAGTCAAGTCACCATTTATAGTCAAGTGGTTAAGGCCCTGACTGGAAAGCTTGGAAATTGCGTGGCCGAGATTTCAAAAATTTAAAAGTAAATATACAGAAAGCATCAAAATTGCACGCTCGATATCTCGGGCGTGCAGTACAAACTTTCCACACTTGGGTTAAGGCATTTAAGCTGAAGTTTGAGGAGTTATTATGCGACCTATATTATATACATTTCTACACCTGTATTTCGAAATTCGATGTCTAATTTCAGCATAAAACAAAATTATTGGCCCTGTAATGTGTCCTGATGCGACATGACATGACCCTCCCCACTCCTCATCACACAAATAAGCCATTTTCCCCGCCTTGCACTAAATTTCCGTGCAAGTTTTTGTTCTATTATTACTTTATACCACATACTCACTTTTCTCCGTCCCTCACATTTCAGTAATCGCGTCGTAATGAATGGAGAACCACGAAAATACTTGTTAAAATTGAGCAAACGTGCCGCCATTTTGAAATATGAATCAGTGAAATAGTTCAGTGATATGAATTTATTCCGAAAAGCGAAAAGACGTCGCACGTTCTTCGCACGCGAGAACTTTTCCGGACATCTTGTGCATGCGGATTTCTGTCATATATTGGCCATGATGGTGTAATTCTAGCCAGTCAGGGATCGTTAATTTTAACCAATTAAAAAGCACGCTCTCTGCACATATTGTTCAAATCGGAGCAGGCAACCCTAACCTGCGAACGGGCATGCTCTGGCGCATAAAATGAAAGTAGACAACTTTTGAAACGGCTCTCAATTTCACAAATCCGTTCATGTCATGAAATTTTTGATAAATATAGATTGTTCAAAGAACTTATAAATATAGATTGTTTGGGCACTTATAATGTAGACTAAACAAAATGTTTTCGCAAAGATCAATTTTCCAAAGCAGGGATGCTTATGAGCATACCAGATCTATAAACGAGTACGCCAAGTTATAGCCTCCTCCAAGCCTCTCTACTATATGGGTTTTATTGAACCTAGGCGGAATACCTAGCCAAGATATCTATGACTTAAAAAAAAACATCGATCTCATAACACTATATTATACTCTTGTTTAACCATATTTATATTACGGTACTATACTCTGCATGGGCTAGCAACTATAAAACAAGATTAAAGTCGGCAGTATCAACCAGATACAGAAAGAGTCTGAAAATAATATCATTTTTGCCTTATACTTTATCATCTTCAACCTTTTTCTCTACGCTAGAAATACCAGTAAAGATTAATAAGATAAATGCTTTTCACCGAATTGGTTTGTTCACACAGTAGAAAATACACTGCCACCTGAATTTAGTGATTCACTTTGCGTAAAAAGCCCTTTAAAAATACACAAACACTACAATAAAACAAACTATCATGGACTGTAACAGATGCACTGTAGTGTGAAATATGTTGCCAAAATGCATTAAAAATCTGTAGCAATAGTAACATATTTAAGTGCAATGAAAATTATATCTTCTTTCTTCTGACGGATTATTAGTATGGGTCATTAGTTGTACTCACAAAAAAAATGTGAATAATAATTACCTTTAATATAAACTTAATTTATATTCAAAGTTTACCTCATTTATCCAGAACTTGACAGTTATCTGACTCTATTTTCTTTGTAATATTAGTTTTTTTAAGTTTTTAGGGTTGACTACTAGAAAAGCCCCGACGGGCTAGTTAGTCTTCCTTCCATATGGATATGAATTGTATCTTTATTTTTTATCAAAATTGTAACCGTATTTATCGTATATGTAATGGAAATATAAATATCTATCTCAATATTGAGCTAACTAGACCTAGCTAAAACTACATGCACATTCAGTTTACTTTGCCCTCGATAAGCTCGATTCTGCCTGGCAAAGCATGACAAACTTGCTAATTTCCCATCCAATTTTCATCTAAAATTTAACCAAAATTTAATCATTTGTCGTTGGACAAAGTCCCCCAAATTTTCGTATTAACAAGTTTGATAGTTTTTAAGTTTCCGTGCTAACATACAAACACAGTAAGAAAAGGCTATCCGGTTTGAACGCCCATGATCGTGTCAGGTTTGAAATATGAAACATTATTTACGTAAAAGCAACATGAGCTGCTTCGTAATGCTTCCTGAACCCATCACCAACAAACAACTCTATCGATGACGTCTCACACCAGTGCATACACATCCCCTCTGGATGACGTAACGGACACTCATATTTTGATTTGTTCATGTTTTCATTTGGTCGTGGAACCGGTAATGAAATCAATTGCCCTTATATCGTTTTCCGGCGTTTTTGCGGCATGGGGATCGAGTAGCCACATTATTATTCAGCGCTTTTAAACACTAACACGATACTGTAAATGCTATATCTTCACTGATTTACATTTATGCTATATCATAGTATCATACTATAGTCAGGGATAAAACTACTGAAAAATACAAGGAGAACTTCGAGGTTTTGAGCGAAGGCCCAACGAAGTGCAGCCTATTCATCGTAATCGAACGTTTCATCTCAGCTATCACCTATAATTACACGATTACTTCATAATACGAAAAATACAACCGTGACAAATGACCGTGACAAATTAACACAAAGCCAGACAAAAACATATCACAATGACTTCTGTTTAGTTTCCAAAGTCCAAACATCATATATTGATAGACTATAATCATGCGTGCATCAGTGCATGATGTTGAGAGGAAACTAGTGTCTTTGTGGCTTATGCCAATATAAGAGACATTTTAAGTGCATTAATGGACCTTTCTGTGCTGAGTGGTTATATTACTATACCTTAAAAAATAAGCAGAAACTCAACGTTTCGAGCGAAGGCCCTTCGTCAAGAGTTACCAACACTGGTACAGACAGTTTTATCGGTATAGACAGTTTTATTACCAACACTGGTACAGACAGTTTTAGTATTAATGGACCTTTCCCCTTATAACTAAAATTTTGATCTAGACAAGTTTAGACAAAAATTTCATCACAGCTTGAAAGAGCATCACAAAATTAGTAATATTCCAAAGTTTCGTTGCGAAATGTTGTAAAATGCGGATAATATAGCCCTGCGAAATTTGCAATTTTCAGTCATTTTGTAGTTGCAAACGGGAAATGATACCCCAACACTCGATTGGGCTGTCAATTTCCCATGCGCAATACAAAATGACTGAAAAATGGCAAATTTCGCAAGGCTATATATTATCCGCATTTTACAACATTTCGCAACGAAACTTTGGAATATTACTAATTTTGTGATGCTCTTTCAAGCTGTAATGAAATGTTTGTTTAGATCAAAATTTTAATTAATAAAAGATTTTTCAAAAGACCCATGCACTTGATTCGAGCCGTGTCAGTGGACAGGCGATTCATTGTTGCAGTCACAAGTCAAGAAGGGGAAACTGAGTGAGGGGAAACAGTGCCATCCAACACACAAGGCTAAACATGTGATCGACAATTTAGTCTGATACTCTGACAACTTTTCCTTGTGTATGTGCATGTGTATGTATGTATGTATGTAAAGTCTTTATTAATGTAAAAAGAGAATATAGTTACATCAGAAATAATATGTACTTTATATAAAACATATATACTATAAGAAAAAGTTCAATGAGTGTTTAATTACAGTTCTATATAAACTGGAATAAGCATCTATTTACAAAAGACCTGCTATCACAATCACACAGAATCTCAATCTGCAGTAACATTGTGGTTGTTTTTGTTCATGTCAAGTCAGAGATAGAGGAAGCGCCTTTGGGTCACCAACACAGGAAGTCCGTTGATATTGTAACTCGTCACATATGCTAATGTTACGTCAACACAATACAGTTGTGTCAATCAAGTTCTGGATAAATAGAAGTGACTCGCAGGCTGTGATCAGTCACTCAGTTTGCAGGGCGAGCCATAAGAAAGAACATTACATCGCAAGATTTTGAAGGACGCTGCAGAAGGCCGAGCAAGTTAGAACAGAACATATCTATTTAGGTGTGTATCCAAAGGTGAACTGCTTGTTTTTACTATAATTTTGTTACATTTTTATGTTGGATGACGCAACTCCGAGTTGCTCCACAGCCAAGGGCAAAATGAAATTTGCTTTGCTGCAGTGGGAATCTAACCAGCCAACTTTATGTTACTAGTCCAATATGACTCCAATTCCCTACTTACTAAACAGGAGGGCAATTTTCTGTGTTCTAAATTTATTTGGTATCATGCTTCCCGTTAAAAAATTGGTATAAAACTGGTCTAAAAACGGTGTATGCTGACTAATATATATTTTCCCAGTATTATACTTGTAGAATGTTGATTCACTGTTATAAATTCACAGTATTTCATGCATTTCAGATTCTTAACTATAAATCTTTTCCATTGAATGAATATCCATATATGTAGATATGATGACAACGTATACTGTATAATTCACTAAAATGAAGTTCAAATATTCAAAGTGTTAGCTGAGAGGCCCACCAAGGGGTTATGACAGACAGGCGACATTCCTTATGACTGGGAAAAAGCGACAAATTGCGATTTGTGTTATGGGTCAAAAGTGACAGCGACATTTATTACAATAAAACAAGCGATAAAGCAGCTAGAAAAGGAGTGACAAGCGACCTGGGTTACACCCTTGGTGAGCCACTTAGCATAGTTTCAAAGTGTTAGCTATTTACATGATATTGGCTCATGGTTTTAAAGGCAGCCATATATCTATGCATACCATCGGAATTGTAAGGTCAACCATAAGCTCTTTGGTTGTTGCAGCATGAGCAAATGGTGGGCGGACCAAGTCTAACATGCTCTAAATATAATTTAGCCGCGATTTTGATATCCTGCGGGTAGCCCCATACCACGTAAACGAGGGAAGGGACTGCGAAACAATGCCGAATAGCATGCTACGTGCTTTACGTGGTATGGGGCTGCCCGCAGGCTACGATTTTGATCGCTTTGCAAAAAAAATCAATTATCCCGGGACAAATTGTTCGCTTGAGGGAAAGTTGTCTTGGCTAGACGAGTGTCCCATGTCCACAGAGGCGAGTCACTCGGGTCAATTCCTGTCCCAGGACAAGTAAAATGCCAACATTTTAAACGCCAACATTAGGTCAACTCCTCTTGACCTATTCTAATGCTTTGCTAGGTCTCTAATTACTGACCATTATATCTTTAATTTACTAATATTTTTAACGATAGGTTGTTTTTCATCCCTTCCTCTTATTCGCTTATTTGAATATTGTAACCGTTTAAAAATTTGTATATATATATATATATATATATATAATACACGCTTGTATAAATAAGTTTAATTGCTCGGAAGATGTTGTGAACATTACAACGAAACGTTAGCCAATAAATTTTATATTTTTGTTATGTCTTGTGTGAAAGTCATTTGCTGGGCTTTAATTTTCATTTTTAACTGACTCAAAAACATAGAGAACGCTTTGTTTCCCCTTCCATCGCCCAATATTATAATTGATAGTGGGGATTTCCTGTTCGCTTCACGACTGATGTATTTCATTTCCTTCTTAATTAAATGAAGTGGTCAGTGTATATTAATTAATTAATTAACGAGTAGGGGAAGAGAATCTTAACTCACGCATTACTAATTACAAAACCGCACTAATCTTGGTGTTAAATTACGCTTTCCACCCGGTGTATCAATCGCTACTGTTTTTGAGTAGTTAAACATTGCCCGGCGCCTGAAGCAAAACATTAAAGATATATTGAGAATGATGAAAATTAAAATGTTATCGTATTAATTAAAATGCTTGTAATGTTTCATATAGTTTTACGTCATTTCTTCTATATGTTGTTAGGAACAAAGTGGAGATTTCTAGAGCGACATGTTTCGCCACACAATCACATTTCTCCTGATATTTTTGGTGGCAAATCACGATTTTGCTGCAGCACGAAGCGTTGAATTTGTCCCGGAAAAACCGATTGAACGACTACAGAAGAGAGATGTAGTTGGAAAACATTTAGAAGGTAGCTAGGGTACAAATTAACCTTAAAAGGAAATAAAAAATCTTGAACATTATTCGAATCAAGTGTACATACAATTTATAATTTTGTTTTCGCTTTCCAGTTAGCGAAACAGGCATCGTTGAAGCACATTCAAGAACAAAACGTGAGTATGGCCCATATTCTATCAGATATAACACCTCACTAAATTCTGACCATTTCATTGGCATAAAATGGTAAGTTTATTCAATACCACGTGATCATAATCATGATCACGTGATATTGAATAAACTTACCATTTTGGCATTTTGCTCAGCGCATGCATTTTTGTGCTGTATGTTGCACGGTCAATTTTCCTGTTTGCTGATTGGTCAAAACCGTATCACGCGCCGGTTCACAAAACATCATGTTCACCGCGTGCTTTGGCGAGAGGGTGAACCGGTCAACAATGAAACAATTATTGACTTGTCAATAATAAAACCGGAAGTGGGGCACGAGTTGTTCGCGTCAACATAGACCAACAAGTTTAATAAAGCTTTTTCAAGAGTTTCAGCATGTCTGTCGGTCAGTTTTATTACAGTTTAAGAATACCAGGTGAATTATTGAGACTTGACACTTGTTATATAATAAAACATTTATTTACCGAGACCTCGATGAAATATATATAGTGGTTTTTTCACTGAGCCAGTTCAGACCAGTGAAATTGGAGCCAGTATTGTGACTATTGTTAACCGTTCCACCAAGGGTTTTTTTTCATGTATTATTTGTAATCATTGAAGTCATTCTCTACAAAATAAGGGACCGGTCATTAATAATGGGAGGGGGGCTTTTTTAATACTTTCCGCTACTCATTTTCAAAATATTTAAACCTTTTATAGTTCCTATAATCGTAGTTTCCATAGTTCATTACGTATATGCGTGCAGTTCACCATAGGAAGCGGACTAAATAACAACCATTTTGAATGCTGGTCCCCAGTACTTGTCCCATTACTTATTTTACACCAAAAATGTAACAAATTAAATGCCAGTTGGAGGGAGGGGTCTTATGTTTTCTAGATGAAGGTGGGAGCGTCTTGAAAATAAAGGTCTTGCGATTGGGGGAGGCTCTAAAAAATGTTCAATATTTGGTATTTATCACCCATCACCTCCCTCCCATTATTAATGACCGGTCCCTAACTTCCTGTTTTTGTGGACGTTGAGCACAAGCACATATTTCGAACATTAAAACAATCTACAAATTAAAATACATACACAGTTTACACAATAGCAAAACAAAGTTTATAATAAGGTTTGACAACACAAGTATTGCAGGAATTAAAAAATGAAGCTATCGCTAAATGGAAAATGTTATTTAGGGCCGATTTACATTACACAAATTTTAATTTGTGTAAAACTGTCTCATGCAACCTGCTTACAAACTTGAGGGCCCTTGAGTAGTGACTGTGATCAAGCACACAACTCACAAAAGTTGCATGCCGTATAAATTGGCCGTTAGCCGTTAGGAAGCCGCTTTATAAATGCAAAACTTGAGAACATTTTGTACGCGGCTCATTCGTTACATTTCTCAATTTATTTTCCTCCAAACACAAGGCTACTGGAGGACTGCCAGTTAACCACACCTTGCAGCACAAACCAGGAACTAATGCGAATTTTCTGTAATTGATTTTCAGGATTTTCAGGTGGAAGCGCGTTTAGATTGGGTCTATCTATATCTTCTGGGACCGCTTTTGCACTCAGTACTGGCACAACGGTATGTCTGAAACAAAAGCAGCTTCAGTTTCGGTTAGAATCAAGGTTGCTTTAAAGTCAGGCTTTAGTCAATGTCTACCAACTTCTCAACGAAGGACCTTCGCTCGAAACGTCGAGCTTTGTATTTTTCAGGTAGTTGCATCCCTAGCAACGAAAGCTTGTTATTATTGGGACTACTTAGGGGCGGACCATTTGATTTTTGAGGGGGGGGGTGGAAGATTCAGTCTGTGCAAGAATTTTTTTTCCGCCCAGGCGAACGAGACAGATATTTTTTCCTGTAAAAGTGCAGCGCAAGATATTTTTTTCCCAATATATTTGGCCGCAGGATATTTTTTTTGCCTCTCATAATAACGGCTTACGGCATGTAGTAAAACACTGACTACCGGAACACCACCGGAACACCACCATTTTGTTTGGGGTTAGGGTTTGGGGTTAGGGTTAGGGTTGGGGGTTAGGGTTGGGGTTAGGGTTAGGATTAGATGGTGTTCCGGTGTTCCGGTGGTGTTCCGGTGGTGTTCCGGTGTTCCGGTAGTCAGTGTTTTACTACATGCCACGGCTTACAGTAACTTTAGGCTTTCATATAGCTATCATCGGAGACGTAGCAGGGGTTTTCAGTCAGAGGAGGCCGAGAACTGAATCCCAAGAGGGGCCAAGGAATTTTCACTGTGCTTTATTTTATATGGTTATGTCTTAATGTTCCCCACACTAAAGCGTGCAAGTTTACTTACAAAGGATGTATAACTGCACCAAAACCTAAAACATGCAGGGATAGAGTATAGTACTCGAAAATGGGGGAGGGTACAGTATATGAATGACCTGTAACCTTGGGGGGTTCGGGGGCATGCTCCCCCGAGAAAATTTTAAAATTTGAACCTCGGAAATGCTATTTCCTGCGTTTTCAGCCATGGATAATTATCTTAAGCCCAGATTTTCTCAGAGGGGGACAACAATTTTGCCAGGGAACACCACTGGTTATCGTATGTCAGAGGCTCCAAAGGCGGTAGAATCCCTGTGATGTTATCCACTGTTCACCCCGTGTTCTTTTAAGCAAATGTGCCTGCTCAAAAATGCAAAATCTTGCAAGCCTGTGGACACAATACTGAAGTGAAGGCATCGGTAGAGTTACATGTAGAAAATTTTTTTTTGAGCGCTCTCTTTTGCATGATTTTTTTTTTCTCGATTGTGTGCTGCATGATTTTTTTTTTCTTTCTCCTTGGGTTGCAGGAAATTTTTTTTCGAAATCTTCCACCCCCCCCCCCCCCTCAAAAGTCAAATGGTCCGCCCCTTACACTGGCACAGAGGCCATTCAAGATTTAGTCAATGTCATCTGTTCTCACGCGTACATTCACATATTTAATGTGTATAGGACGTGCACTATGAAATTATTACCAGCTCGGGGGAATTGGCCTATCACACTTTGTGTAATCGACATTAAAACAATAATTTTCCCATTTTTAGCTATACCATGCCATACGAAAGTGCAAGGATTATAGACCTCATGATTGTAAAAGTCCAAATTGTCAATATCTTTCCTGCCCCAGTACCTGCAAAGGCCCGGACACGAACAGAGAGTATGTCGAGGACGAAAGAAAAGCTGTCAAAGCAAAATTGACAGTCATGGATAACACTCAGCGTGATGGTATGACATATAATTGTCATTAAGGGGAGATTTTTGAAGACATATTTATTACGATGCAAGTAACTATCTTAGTGGGTTTGTTAGTTTCTGGCAACAGTTATAATTGTATCTTATACTTTTTGATCTTATAGTCAGGCAGATAGAGGATCAAAATTATGGAAAACTTTATCGTGGGACAATTCCATTTTGCCTTCATATTGTGCCTGAAGGCTAGTAAGTACGTTTCTGTATGTTGGCCGCGTTAAAATTTCTTCCTGGGTACTAGTCTGAAAACACGCATTCAACGGCTCATAACTCAAGAAGAACTTGAAAAACCTGAATAACCGTTTAAATGTCTTATATGTAGTTTTTTGCAAGATTTCAAATGCTGTAAGTCATTTGTGTCAGACATGTATTTGAAATTTCACATTTTTTAACTGTAATAGAGTTTAATACAAAATTCTAAGAAAAACGTTGGCAGGAGCCCACAAGAAATTTTAACGCGGCCAACATACAGAAACGTACCTACTAGCCTTCAGGGCACAATATGAAGGCAAAATGAACGTGATAACTCGTCTTGCTAACAGAGACACACATACACACACAAACTTAATGACCTCCTTAATTACGAGGGAATTATTCACGCGTACTTTTTTCCATTTAATATGTAGCGTTCAATTTGGCAACGAAAGCAATCAACGCCGGTTTAAACAACCAACGTATTTTCACGGAAATCGATAGAATTAATCAAAAAGTGGACGAACTGGTATTTAGTATCGCACAATTGGATATTAAATTCGCGACGCTTTTGAGGAACAGCAGCGTTGCTATCGGGGTAAGGTGGTGTTTGTGATTTAGGATTTTATAGGACTTGTAACAGAAACGGTAGCAGTATCATTACAGACAGTTTACTACAATGGACGACTTGCGCTTTAGACTAAATTTTAATCTAAGTAAGAACAACGAAATATATCACCACAGCTAGAAAGAGCGTCTTGGAACTAGTAATATTACAAAGTTTGGTTGCGAAATGTTGTAAAATACGGAAAATATAGCCCTTCAAAGTTGGCAAATTTGTATACTTTTGTATTACGTTCGTGAATTGGTAACTAAATTAGTTACCAATTTTCGCACGTAATAGAAATGTATACAAATTTGCCAACTTCGCGGCAGGGCTATATTTTCCGTGTTTTACAACATTTCGCAACCAAACTTTGCAGTTTTTCTAATTTTGATAACTTCTTTCCGAAAATATCCTTTGTTATTCCCAGATTAAAAATTTTTCTGAAGCGCAAGTCGTCCATTGACTTCGAAAATTCTTTGCCCACAAGTTCTCTAAATTTCGCTTGTGAAACTCATTAACAATTCACGAAGACAGAACTGAGCAAATACAAAAGAAATCACGAGCGTGAAGGAGTTTGTATATCTGATACAAAATCACACTGATTTACATAGAATTTAAGTTCAATTTTGTCACCAAATATCATTCATTTAAAAATCTATTTTCATTTCTTTAGACGTTACTAAGAGACAAACGGTTGTCGTTGAATGATATTGTTTCAAGCCCGGAAATCGAGGGACTGTTTGATAAATGGACATGGGAAGGGACTGGAGTTTTCGTTCTATCCATTGCACTTCCACTCTCGTTATATGCATTTAACTACCTCAGGCAAAGGCATGCAGTTAATCAGGTATTTTTTTCGTGGAAGATTAATACTGGGAACTAGCCAGAGTGTGACCAGATTTTTTCAGCAGTTATTACCAAAATTTTGTTCAAATTTTACTAAATTAAGTCTCAGTTTAAGAAAAATTTTACCAAATTGTCGGCTTCCCAAATAATTACGCCATAATAATGCCAAAAAACAATAGTTACGTCATCAAAGTAGAAAAAATATGTCCAAAAAGGTATCTCGGAATATTGTTGCTTTCATCGTAGTTGCAGTTTTTGCTAATGATAAGGCTTTATGTCTTAGGCTTGGCAGTTCTGTTCATCACTTTGAGCACGTTCATAAACAAGAAACACACATTTTTACCAAAATGATTACTAATAATTAAAACTTTCTGATCAAAGTTTACCAAAATTTTACCAGAAAAAACTTATTATACCAAATTTTCTTGAAAATTCACGAAATTTTACCAAAAGTAAAACTTTTTACCAAATCTGGTCACACTGGCAGTGCGAACAAAATTAGAATACTCTTGAAGCTAGGTTGCTAAGAAGTGATTCATCTTGACATGCAGATGGTTTGCCCATCTTCAGGAAACATGGCTATGAAACAATATTTCCTGGTTTGCCTATCAACATATTAATTACAATGATGATTCTCGTAATGAATTAATGACCATCATTTTTTATTTTTTAGATTTATAAAAGCCTTAAAACAGATTTTAGTGCACGTTTCGTGAACCAAAAAACAAGCGGCCTAAACCCGAACGCCAAAATCAATAACAAATTCGCGTATGTACAAGGTGTGACGACGAAAACGATCGACAAACAACTCAAAGGGACTGCAAAGGCTATTCATGCATCCAATCAAGCGTCTCAAAAAGTCACAAAAGTTGAAAAATTCGTGAATACTTATATTACACCTGCCATTAATGTAATTGTTACAAGTAAGACAAGTACATGTATATTATATATATAAAGGAGGATTTCAGGGCGGCCCACTAATGATAATACATATAATAATAATAATAATAATAATAATAATTTATGCCCGAGTTACGTTTATAATTTGCCCGACTTCATTTTGACTGGGGGGCAGCTGCCCCCCAGCCGCCCCCCCCCCCGCCTCCCCCGTACGCCTAGGCTGGAATTTCACGGATTCGAAAGTAATTTTAGTATGTCTGTCATGCGTATTTGAAGCTCCTTAAATTTCCCGGGATATTCAACCCATGATTTATTCTGGCCCAGCATCTTCCGCATGTATCCCGTGATCCAGTTGGGGTTTAGGTCGCAACCAATTTCGCCCGCCAATCAAAAGGCGACGCCTGCGGAGGAGGCTGACCCAGACCAATCGGTACCACAGACAACCCATATAAACCGAAATGTTTTACCCTTCATTTATTTAGTTTCTTTGAAAAAAAAATATAAATAAATAAATAAATTTTTATTATTATTATTCCAGGTGATCTTGATACGCGGAAAAGTACTGGCACTAGTTGTCAAATAGAAATCCATTTTATGATTAAAACAACTGAATATCTCCTGTAATATACTTTATTTCGATTCCATATTTTTATCAGAGCTATAGTTCTCATAACCAAACATAATTACAAAATTTCAACTAGTTTCATAAAGAATAATGAAAGATATAATTGACTGAATACATCAAAATGGATTTCTACTCGGACAACCCTTTCTGAGCGCTGATTGGCTAAAATACGAACATGAGATCACCTGGTTATTATTACCACAGACAACCCATATAAACCGAAATGTTTTACCCTTCATTTATTTAGTTTTATCTGTATGGGCGACGTACCAGCAGATTAATAATTGCCAATTGATCGCCAATGATATGCAAGAAACTGCAATTGATATGGCAGAGGAAGCCGATGAAATTGAAAAAATTAAACAGCTTCAAGTCGACCCATTGTTACGAAACGTTACAACCCAGGTAACCCAACGTGCTACACGATTTTAAATTCTAGTCAAGTAACGGTTAACATTGCAACAACTTACAAGATCGAACGATATATATATACATTAGACAGTTCATCAAGACGCGCCATATTACCCTAGGCCACTTCGTACGGCCGGGCGTTCTTACGCGTTCTCGTTATAATTATAAAACGCGTCACAGGTGAATCAGGGGAGTGGTTGCGATGAGAGTGCTAGCCTTTCATCTATGGTCCCTTTCCATAGATATCTTATATACACTAGATAGTGCATCTAATTATTCTGCAATTCAAAAATTGAAGCCGTGATTGCACTCTCAGGATATTCCCATGAAATGAGAAGACTCGTATGTTTTCTATTTCTTAAACAGGGAACTTAAACATTAAGTTAAGCCTATTCCAAATACATTTTCAAACTATTCAAATGATGAAAGTTATTGTTGTTTTTTAAGCGTTTATTAGCGAGTGGGAAACTTCAACATGACCGCCATCTATTCAAATGGGAGTAACCGCTGGAATATTCTTGGCTTCAATTTTACTAAAAGAGATGCGCTATCTAGTGTATATAAGATATCTATGTCCCTTTCCGCTGTATGAGTATTGTTTGTTAGGTTGAGGGCAGGGATTTACTTTCGTTGGGTAATTTCCCCTGGGTCATTTTCTTCTCGGCCTTCGTTGTTGTCTGCCTCCACCAAGCAAGTCAGGGAGCTTAAATTAAGCAAACGACGTTTTTGTCAACACTCGGATGTTATCCGAAAATTGGTATAACTAATCAGTGTCGCTACATGTTGCTACGAGCTTGTTGTCATCAACTTGGTAACAACTTGTTACGTGCAAACACATGTCACAACTCGATCAACTCGGCAAATGTACTGGAGGATTTGCAATGGCCCACGCTCGATGTAATACGTCATAGGCTGAAGAGCGTTTTGATGTACAAAAATTAATGAGCAGTCCGCTCCAAGTTTTAGAGAAAAATTTATAGAAATTAAAGATCTTAATAGAGAATATAATCTTCGACTGAAGTAATGATACTGATCTAGCACTTCCAAAACCTAAAACAAACTATCTTAAACGAAGTTTTAAGTATAGTGGTGTAATGCTGTGGAATAGTCTTCCTTCTGAGGCGAAAAAGGCATCTTCGCTCTACCAATTTAAACGCAGTATGTCCACTATACCAGAGACTAGGATATGATTTAAAATAGTTTGTACAGGGGCGTAGGAACCGGGGGCATGTGCCCCCCCCCCAATTTTTTCAAAGGACTAAAAGTGCCCTTTTTTGTGATGCAAAGTGCCCTTTTTTGTGATGAAAAGTGCTCTTTTTGTACAAGCTAATGTCGCTGTATATACTAAATTAACATCAGAGGTGCTCTTTTTCGGTTTGGATGATTTCCAAGTTTTTTAAAAACATTTGGCCAGAAACGTGCAATCTCGGTGTGGTACGACGGGAAAAGTTTTCTTCCCCCCCCCCCGTCGCCAACATTTCCGGGAAAAATTTTTTAGTACCCTTTTCAATACCCTAAAGTGTCCCTAGAAGCGGTGTCCCCTCCCCCAATCTTTTGATGCTTCCTACGCCCCTGAGTTTGTAAGTATAACACGCCCAATCTGAAAATCAACACATTGTATTTTACAATTATGTTGTGTATGGCTAGCGTGGTAAAATCCTTCGTATTTACAGGCTTGGCCTAACGTTCGAGGAATGATGACAAATGAGACGACACTTGATTGGTTGGATGGAATTCGAAACCTCTCACTCGGTGCGAGCAATTCTAACGGCTCAATCGCAAATGTTATTCAAGATTTCATTGACAAGATAGCATCTGCAAACTACGATAAATTCATCGCATTACAAACCGAACTCATTACTGCTTTGAAATCCGTCGACTACGAGTACACATGCCTCGCAAACAAGCAGAAGGCTATAACAACCGTCATTACGGATTGCAGAATTGGGCGTCTGCCTTTCCCAGAATTGTACGATTATGCCACCAATAAACATAGTCTGAATGTGCCCGCCTGCATTTCAAAAGGCATCTTTCCCTATACTACCGAAGCTCAGTTCTTTACGATTTTGAACGCAACTGCCGCACACCAGGGCTGGTACAGCAAATGTCTGTTAAACAACAATGATTTACTTTATCGTGTTTGCGCAGAGAAAATTAAAGGTATGAGTAACATATTAAGACTACATAACCAAAAACAAATATAAAAATACTAAACATGAGTTGTAGTATATATTTGTATAAGCGGTGTTATTTTTACTGCCTTACTACTTTTGTTTTCATATCTTGCTGTTTATTGGCCCCTTACCCTAACCCATACCTATGTCACAGAATAGAGAGGCACAGAAGGTCGACTCAGGTAAAAAAGCGTTACCGCTACCACGCCATGATTCACATGATTCGTCATCAAAATGCTGACGTCATGGTCCTAGCCAGCGTGCTTATAAGAGGCATGATTCACCCCCCTGGACATCCGCTATTTTGAATATTTTCAGGGAGGTGAAAGCCTCTCATTAGCGTATACTGGCTAGGACCATTGCAACAGTTACGCCGAAATCATAGGCAAAACTAAGAAGTCGACCTTCTGTGCGTGTCTATTCTGTACCAATGGTTAAAAGTTTCAATTAACGCAATGTTGCAGGATACAACACACCAGCAGAGATTGTAAACCAGGTGAACAGGACGGGATTGACAGAAGACATGATCCCAAATTTCCTTGCTAGATGCCCACCTCCCAAGATTACACCGAAGAGCATAATTGACACCTGTGAACTTTACTGTCTGTATCAACCTGTGTCCAAAATCGCAAAAACCGTGGTCTTGCTTGAAAGCCAAGTGGAGTATATCATGAAGACCTGTCCTATTTGCAGCGTCACGGAGACAAAGTTAAAGCAAATCTGTAATTTTTACTCCTGCGAAGGACAAAATGCATCGACCATCGAGAAAACTGTCGAAAAGCCGCTACCGACCGTCGAATTTATCATCGCGAACAACTGCTCAGGATGTGCGATTGACGACCCAGCACTGAAGAAAACTATTTGCGTGAGGTCTCAATGCAGAGGTCATTCCGCGGCAAAAATTGCAAACGATGTTGGCTACTCCGAATCGGCTGTAGATGGTGTCTTTCTAGAATGTACTACTATTGTGCCTTCATGTCTCGATGCGATTACTGGAGACGATAGGAAGAAGGTTTTTGATCTAGATTGTTATAGCGTTCCAGTAACATCGTTACCGTTTCTCACCGATTTAACACTCCAGGTTGTCAAGGAGGTCCTCGAAGTAATTAAGGGACAGGTATGTTTGTTACGTTTTTTTTGCGTCAAATTTCGAACGGTCTCCTATATATTAGTATTCAAGACCTAACTGATAGCATCTCTATCATTTTATCACCGAAGTCGACTCAGGCACAGAATAGGAAGTTATACCAGAAGCGTAACTCTAGTCGTTTCCCTTATTGTTTGACGTCGACGAAAATTTTTAACTCGCTCACGTCAGGCCACGCCATCCTGGCTAGTACAGCCGGAAGTTTTTATCAGGATTTAGTAGGTACAAAGTGCCGGTTGTACTAGCCAGGATGGCGTGATTGATGACGAATCGCTTGTAAAAACGCGGACAAATATTTGCTCGAGTTACGCTTCTGGTATAACTTCCTATTCTGTGACTCAGCCAAAAAAGCGTAATCGTTGCGGCGCTGTAACGCCATAATTCGCAATGATTCGTCGTCAAAATGCTGTCGCCATGGACCTAGTCAGTGCATTGCATTGATGCATTGTCACCCCCCTGAACGTACTCCATTTTAAATATTCTCAGGGGGTGAATGCCTCTTATAAACCATGGCGACGCCGCGACAGCATTGGTTACATCATGGGCAAAACCAAGAAGTCGACCTTCTCTATGTCTCTATATATTCTGTGATTTTTCGAGGAATTTCGCGGAATTTCGCTTTGTATTTTTCAGGTAGTTGCATCCCTAGCAATGAAAGCTTGTATGTTTTATATAGCTCTTTACACAATGGCAACAATATATCCCATGACGAAGCTATATATAAACAGGCTTTTGTGATTGGTTTATTATAACAATGAAACACAATAAAGCCATAGAATAGATTTTCTAAACAACGAGTCATGAACATTGGTCACTTTTGTTTACCAAAGTCAATTACAAAACTTGTTCATTTTAACTACGTCCTTACTGGCACAACATACAAACCAAATAAGCTTAATTCAGTTAGTCTGCGGGCCATCGTAACATAGCTCAAGATTAATAACTCGTTCATTTATCCTCAGGGCCGCCGAGAGAATTTGCGGGGCCCTGGGCAAATCTTCCTTGGGGGCCCCATGACAGCATTATTTTTAAGCTGGACCTTAGCTAGACTGCAATTTAAAGAACTTACTCAATTTTAGGCTCTCGTTCTCAAGTTGGGGCCTTAAGGTGGGGGCCCAGGGCAATTTGCCTCCCCCCAGCTGCCCCTTCTCTCGGCGGCCCTGCTTATCCTGTCTAATTCTCTCGTTTTCTTTTCAGACATGTCCACCTCCACTTCAATTTAAACAGAGCAACGGATAATTTCGTCCATTCACTTGTTCATGATTATTTAATCTACATACAGTAGCATTAGCGTTCATACTGTGAAGAATTAGTTCATTATTTTCGATATTTATCTAGCTTACTTTATTGAATAGGTTTTAGCATGTAGTGGTCAGTAGTTTTGTAACTTATGTAATTTCTTGTTTTCACGCAATTGTTTGTCATTCTTTATTTAATTTGATAAAATAAAACACGTCTCAAATGACTTGAATAGCATTCTTGTTCACACACACTAATCTGCTTCATTTGTACTAACAGTTTTACCCAAATGTGAACTGGTTGCCAGAGGCTCTTTGGTTGAGACCAACCTGCCAGAGGCTGGCTCTTTCAAAGAGCCTCTGGCCACGAGGGTACCCCAAATGAAAATTGTAACTTCAATGACAAAATGGCTAGATTGATAGTACAAAACTGCATTCGTTTTATTGCAATACTTATAAAAACAATTTCAAAGAGCTTAAAATGTTTTCCAACATACTTATTTGTTGAAACAATGCGACGTTATTTAGCCATGTGCCACCACTCAAATATTCATCCACGTAAAACCCACGCAATCAGCGAACAGCCACGCGCATCCAAGAAAGGTGAATGAGTTCCCGCGGGTTTCTATAGCGACGGTAGGTATTCGCGGTGTTTACTGTGCCAACTTTTTCCTGTCGGATTTTTACAGCTAATACAGGATTTTAGGATTAAGAACTGGACAAATAACACGTTTATATTCTGATAATATGATGTAGCGGTCTGAGATTCCTCGTCTGAGATAGTCCGTAGCTAAATGTTCATTTGCTATTTTGCGATCAACTAGCTGGTTGTTCTGATATTTTTTAAATGGACTTAATAATTTCATTAGAACGCCACTTAATTGCAACATGGACGAGTTCGACAACGAAGGTTTGTCGCATATTCATCATGCGGCATTTAGCGGTTATCAAAAAAGCATCTCGCGTTTTGTTAGAACAAATCAAGAGCAGTTGGAACTGTTGACGAAAGATGGTAAGCGAAACACACCGTTGTTGCTAGCGTGTAGTAATGGACAGCTAGATGCAGTCCGTTTCCTGGTAGAGTTGGGAGCGAATCTGGTCGCTTTTAATGCCTCTGGTTTTGGTGTTATCGAATTAAGTGCTTATTCCGGCCATTTACATGTCTTAGAGTATTTTCTCGAACTGGATTCCCCCGACGTTAACGTGTATATCTCCTTAGTTCGAGCTCTTGATAATTTAAAGGGGACACATTTGCAAGTCGCGGCATTGCAATCGCTTTCCGAACTGTCAACACCAGAACGCTTGGGGACTGTTTTGAATTCGGGAGCTATCGAAGGCGTTGTTAAAGTCCTGGCCTCGCCTGCTAGCGAAGAAGATGTTGTCATTAACTGTTTGATGTTTTTTGACAAGGTTATAAAAATTAGTAAAGAAGCACATGAATTAATGAGGCATGACAATTCTGTCAAAGCACTGGTGGGGCAGCTTAGTTCTGAAAATAAACAAATTTATTCACTGGGGGTAAAAATATTGGCCGAACTAGCAAGGGAGCACCCCCCTACTGTAGAAAAGATCACAAACAATGATGGTATTGATGCTCTTGTAAAAATTCTCAGGAAAAACACTTTGAACAATTCTATTCTGCTCGATGTGCTTAAAACTTTGGCATTGTTTTGTGAAGTCCGACCAAAAACACAAGATGTGTTTGCTGCAGTAGAGAAGGGCTTTGCGACGTTGACCAGTTTGTTGAAAGAATGTAAAAAGAGAAAGGTTCTAGCATGTGTTTCAAGAACTATTGCATTGTTGGTTGAGGCGAATGAACGAAATCAGGATTTATTTGTTAATGAAGATGGCATTCCATGCCTCGTTCAAATTTTGTTGAAGTCCAGATCACAAGAAGCTCAAATGGCTGCAGTTCTTGCAATTAAAGCAATTGCTAATAATGGCAGTGTCGCAAACCAGGAGTTGTTGCAACGCAAGGGTTGTGTCAAGGTTTTGACAAAGCTGTTACGAGAAGGGCCTCGGCATGACGAAGTCCGACAACTGCTTGGTGAGGCATTATGGGCTATTGCTGGTGCAGATGTCCCCCAAAGGTACTCAATTGCAAAGCATATTGGTATAAATATTCTAATTGAATTTCTAAAAACTCCAATCATTCATTGAATTTCATTGGTTCAGAAGCTTTGGTTGTATTAGCTGAGGATATAAACAGCAATCAGGATGAAATTGTTGCCGCCTCTGCAACTCAATTCATGATTCGTTTAATCGGGAAGCAAAACACCCCAGAGCCAACTGTTTTGAGTATCTTTAGAACTTTGCGTGCCATTTGCATTCAAACAGGGTTTCGTTCACATGTGAAAGGACAGGGTGCCATCATGGCGGATAGTGGGATCAAGTTTCTTGTGCGATATTTTGTACATTCTAGAAAAGAAGCCACTCAAGCCGAAGCAGCATACACTCTGGCATGTGTTGCCCTTGGAAACCAAGATACAAATTCTGCGGTAGTTGACATGTTTGAATTCTCACGTTTGACAGATTTGATGTCGCATGAAAATAAGAGTGCACAGTTAATTGCTGCACATGCCCTAGCTTTGTTTGCCTTTAACAACACACACAACCAAAAGTGCATAGCGTCAGCTGGTGGTCTTATGTATTCAATGTTTAAGCTGCTATTAGATTCAAGTGACCACAAGACCCAAGCTAAGGCAGCATTCCAGACTGTGGTTCTATCCAGAATTTTCCCTGATGAAGATCAAGCTAACACGTCAGCTGTTGGTATTCAAATGCTGGTCACCTTGCTTCAACAAGATGATGAGGAACTTCAAGCAATGTGTAGTAATTTCATAGCAGGGTTGTCCCACACAAGGCCTGGTATTCCTGCTGCATTTGTGTCCATTGGTGCCATCCAAGTTCTGGCCGAACGTCTAACCTCGCAATCTGACAAAGTCCGGTGTTGTTCGGCAATCGCTTTGGGGTATTTGAGCATAGACAAAAGTGGGCAGAGACAGTTGTTAAATGTGTGCAGGAGCCAGCCACCTTTGTATAGAATTTTGTGTAGCTATGCAAAGAATGTGAAGCTTTCACAAGAGTTTATTGAAAGATGGAAGCATTACCAAAGGCTGTCTTGTTTGCCACCAATGTAAGTCTGATATATGTCATGTTGGAATTTATCAATACCATACTATAACCATGGTATATGATTTTTTATGCCTGTCAATATGCAGCACTAATTGAGTTCATGTGGCCATCAGTGAGTTGAGTTAGAAATTAGTTTTTTCATTCCAACAATTTTAAAATATGTTAATGTTTTATTATTTCAGCAATCAGTCTGTATTCCTGGTTAATCAATCTGACATGGATGAAACATACACTATTGGAAGTTATTTTAACGAGACATTCAATGAAGGCAGTGAAGACAGTATGTCGGAAGTATCTGAAAAAAACTTACCGTTCCCATTGTCTTGATGGTGGCTTTGGTTTATGACAATGGTGGTCTAGTACATTATAACCAGACATGCAATATGCTTCCGTACTCATTGGTAATTTAACCCATTAAGCGCCAGCGCTCTCCCCTTGACGAGTAAAATCGTCCGGCGTTAGACAGAGTAAAACACTAAAGTAGGGTGCATTGGGGTGCAATGCGACTCAATGGGTTAACTAGACACATGGGCAGATAGGCCAGTTAACCCATTAAGCGCCAGCGCTCTCCCCTTGACGAGTAAAATCGTCTGGTGTTAGACAGAGTAAAATACTGAAGTAGGGTGCATCGGGGTGCAATGCGACTCAATGGGTTAATTAAAGATCACACACAGCTACACATGTAAAAATAATCTCATAGCTTGTGAACAAGTCCAACTTGTTGACAAGTCCGGAACAAGTTGTTATCAAACAAGGCTGATGATGCCAACAGACTTGCAACAAATTGTTTCAACAACTCTGATATTGTTTGCACGTAGCAAGTTGTTAACATGTTGATGACAACAAGCTTGTAACAACTTATTACGAATAGCCTGTATTAGTCTTGCTGGAACAACTTGCGGCCAGTCTGTTACCGTCATCAACCTTGCAACAAGAAAACTGAAACAAATGTGTGATAAAGCCAAACAGCAATTTGTTAATATAATTACTTTATTTTACACTGTCACTGATGCTGTTAAAGAGGCAAGAGATATATCTTGTCAATATTAATTGTTTCGTTTATTTCGTGAGCTAGCTTTGCCATTTGGTCAACTTTGTTCCTTATTTTCTACATTTTCCGACGTTTCTTTTGTTGCACTGACACCGTCTCCACTACTTGCTTCCAGTGGTTCAGCTTGTAGGAAGTCATTCAGTTGTTGTTCCAAATCAATATCCTCCTCCAATGTGATATCATCCAATGATTGTGATGGCGGTGTTCCAGCAATCGGCTCTACATACAAAAACAAAAAAAGGAATATCTTCATCGGATGCAAGTACAATATGGACTATCCGTCAAGACGAACTACTATCTGCGTAGTTAATCATTCCTCAATTAAGACACGTCCATCGTTCAACTTCTTACTTTCTGTAGCGCCATATTGGATGTAATGTTGCATTTCTTCAAGAAAGACGTCTTCGTAAACTTTTTGTCTTTCGGCGGACGCTTGACGTTCTAGTCTTCTTGTTTGTTCATCTTCGATCGATTTCTTTGCTTTGAACTCCTCTACAGAAAACACATTTTTAGAAATATATACAGTGTTCATTGTGATTGTGGTTTTGTAACACTGTTTTTAGCTACAAAGACTAAGTAGAGCCGTGTGCATCTAACTAGTTTTTGCGGACCCTCACCTGCTAAACTGTTGTACTCAAACCTATGAAATTAAATAAAACATAATTTTAAGTGCCTAATCACTCCGACTTGGAAAATAGTAGGTTTTTATACCCAGGATTTTACAGTAGCACACCTGCCAATAAGGCAATATACTGAACTATTTTCTTTGTTAAATGCTCTAAAAAGGCATACACAAGTCAGATGGTTTAATATACAGTATAGTACTGATTAGAAATTCTATTTTCCTTCGGAATGTGTCTGGGCCGTGTTCTGGACGTGTTCCCATGCGCGTCCCATTTAATTTGGAATGTCGTCCGCAATTTCGCCGAGATCGGAACCAAATTCAGGATTTCATAGGCGCTGGTATTCGCGGCTGAGTCAACTGGGAGAGACATTCTGCCGTGTGGGTGAAATCGGCAAATTCTGTAAGTAAATTTTCAAACTTACTCTAAATGTTCAACGTATCTATCCAGAATTTTAGTTTCTTTCGCTTTCCTTCGTTCCAAGATATTTCTAACCGATACTTCTTCGTACTCGTCAATAAGTTGTTCAAACACATCAATTTGGCTGTGAATGTTTTCTATAGAAATAATAGTTTCCTGCAGTAGACTTGTAGCAATGCTGTTCCAACAACTTGTCAACAAGATGTCAGTCGCACTGCTAGTTTCCAACTTGTTGTCAACTTGCTACAAGGTTGTAGACTTGTTACAAGTTGTTCCAGCAACTTGTTAACAACAAGTTGTGAGTGACAACCTTGTAGCAACTTGATAAAATAACAGCATTGTCACAACTTGTTGACAAGCTTGCTACAAGCCTCTTGCGAACACATCTTGTTGACAAGAATTACAGCAACCACTGAGTATTTCAATAAAATATAAAACAACGGTAACTCGAAAATAAAAAACTTTGTTGACAAGTTATTAGATTTTTACGTGTGTATGCAATGACAGCATTTATGAAATATCAGTCGTGATTCGTTCCCAGAAACAATGCCGATATCGACCGTACTTTACTAACAAGTCCATGCATGTGTGAACTGTTTACACTAAGACGGCAGATATGCGAGGAAATAGCGTAGTTTCTACGGACCTATTTTTTCGGTTGCTGCATCAATTTTCTCAAGTACGTCTGGCAAGAATGAAAGTTCTTGATGAAAAGATGTTATAGCTCTATCCAGCGCAGCACATTTTTTTAAACCATCCAAAATCGTTTTATCTGTTTCCTAGAGAAGAAACGTTTTGAAATCAAGCTGCTTTAATTATTATAAAAAAATAACTTTGTTTTTGGAAATGATTTAGATTACTTCTGCTTTTTCAGCCACATCTTTTCCCTTCCAATGAATTTCAGCCCAGTTTTTATAAAACCTAAAAAACATTCAAGGAAAATAAAACACAAGTGTAGTATTAAGTATCAATTTTAATTACCACCTATAATTCATAATACTGCAGTTAAATGTGACATACCTAGCAACTATTTCTGAACCTGCTTCTAAGTTACAATCAAAGCATTGATCATTGCTGAACAACAAAAAAACAGTCAAAATTAGGGAAAGTACATTTATTACACCGAGGGAGGGGGATGAAGATGTCTTGAAAAAAGCTCATATTTTTACAGGGCCCCTGTTGAGGTTATCGGTAAATTTCGATGCCCCCCCCCTCGAAGTTTTTAAAATTTTCAATGCCCCCCCCCTCCTCCCTAGAATTCGGAATCGAAGGAGTACAATCCGGAATTCTCTCTTATCATAGATACAATTTGCAGTTCCTCAAGATGTCTGATATACTCAAGTGCTACTCAGTTCTTCTTCTTAACAAAACTACCGATCTGCTGCTTCTTTCATCTCACTAGCGCCAGATGAAATGGCACCGTCTTTAAAACATTTTAAATTGGCTCTAGGGGTGGAATTATCAACAAGTCGTTGTTGTCCATCATTGAGCGCATTCGGAGTCTTGAACACGTTCATGTAGTGGCCAGGATTTCCTGGATCAGGGTAATGTGCTGGAACCTTACAGTATGTTGCCCCCACCCAACGTATCTCCCGGCATCTGTTGCAAATGTCTTTGCATGCCTGTCAAAATGCATGCAAAAGTGCCAGTATGCTTCAATTTCTTTAATTTCCATCCCGTTTGTACGAAATATCCCATAAACATAGAACATATCATTCTTGCAAATTGTATATGCTTTTTTGCTTTTTGGCGCGTAAATTACTTCACAAACCTGGCGCAAAAAAAATTAAAATAAGCTATAGGTGATTTCATGTATCCATTTAGAAGAGCAGACTAAGGATATCTTGGACGTAGAAAGCATCTGACGTAGCAGGGACGTAGCAAAGCATCTGACGTTTGGGGGGGGGGGATGTCAGAGGATTATACGTGTAATAATTATAATAAAGCTTTTTGTGATTGATTGGCACTCTTATACTAAGTTTTGGGAGAAAAGGGGGGTCTGGGGGTCCTCCCCCAGAAAATTTTTACATTTTCGAAGCTCTAGGACTGAATTTCTGGCGTTTTCTAAAGCAAATTTCGCAAACAAATTGCATGTAAATTGACTGTATTTTACAAAAATGGTTATCATTTCACAAAAATAATTACTTTATTATGCAAATTTTACCTGAAACTAATGTAAAAATTTTAACTTTAATTTGCTGGGGTCAAACCTTTGAAAACTTTAGAGCCCCCCCTTCAGTATATCAAGAACTTTCAGAGCCCCCCCTTTAATGCCAGAAAATATTTCGGAGCCCCCCCTTAACATCTTCATCCCCCCCCTCGGCATAATAAATGTACTTTCCCTTATTGATTGCAAAAACCACAGGGATTTAAAGCCTTTAATATTCAGACTGTCTTGTTCTGTGATGTGCATGGGAAAAGACATTTACTTGTCCACAATAGTTGGAGCAGTTAAAGCAATTATGGTACACGTCTGTGCTTGTGGGGGGACATATATTTGTCAATGGCCCCTTTTAATATTATACAGTACCTGTTTACATTAACATCTTCGGCTATTGCAAATGCTGCTTTTCTAGAAAAATATGAGGATCTTTATGTTAAAGTGATAAGTTTCAAGGTTGTGATTATCACAAGCAGACGTGATGGGTGGGGAGAGGGTAATGGGTGGGGGAGAGGGCGATAGGTGGGGGGGGGGAGGAGGATGGTAGGGGATAATAGAAAGAAGGGGGTGTTCTAGCAGACTAGCACAGATAATCAACATTAATTCGTTGCCTGTCAAGCATTTCATTATACCAATACATTTTTATGTTTACTCACCTAACGAATCGTTGATTTGCTGTTTTCGCTTTTGTGGAAATCGATCGCAAACTACCAATTGAAAAATATATAAATCAAAATTAAACAGAAATTATATAACACGTATACAATATTGAAGTATGGATTTTTAGCGAAATTTTACACATACCCTTGGGTGAGATCATGCTGTACATCATAAAATCGATCTTTTAAGTTTCCAAACATTTTGCCTCACTTTACAGTATATTTCTATTCATGTTTTTGTTTACAAACAAATACGAAATTCCAGTTTTTCATAACCGTGTTTCCACTTTGAAATTAGTTTTCAAGAAGAAATTTAAAATATTCTAGAAAAATGGAAATCACACTGGAAGCACCAGCAAAATTTCCTATATACTGAGCTATATATATGTAACTGTGATATTGTTCCAATATGGCTGCCCAAACAGAGGCAGAAGTTCAAGCTACGACAAATTCACTTAATTCTGGTTTGATGCACGTTCTTCAACCGTCCATAGAAGCCCTTGATCATAAAGTTAACACTGTCAGGTGAGAAATTTCCATTAGACTAGTGTCCTCCACACTTGTATGCTACAAATTGTACTGTACTATTTAAACTATTTAATATGAAATTTATAATCATTAGTCTATGGCTTGTTAACTTGTAATCAATTTCTCTCCTGTTTTATAGACAAAGTCAAGTTACCCTAAGGGAACAAATTGATCGACTAAGTGAAGGTTTAACTTTTTGTATTGGGATTTAATAGACACTTTCTAAATTTGCTTGAACAGTTGAATGCACACAAAATGTTGTCCTTTTAAAAAAGTTCTTGTTATGTCATGTAAACCTTAATAATCAACTTCTTACCTTTATATTGTGTACACACTAAAGCGAATTTTGGAAGTGTCTGTTCAAAATAGTAGGTACTGGTAGAGTGTTTGGATTGTATGCTGTACAGCATCTGACACAAGAGTATTAAGGAAATATGAACTGATTGTATTCATTTCTGTAGATCTTGTAAAACTGGGTGATTGCCAAGATTTGCCAATTGATCTTGAACCATATGTGAAAAAACTGATTGGTTCTAGAAGAAGAATCACACTTGTAAATAGCATCCTGCAAAATGCACAGGTAAACTCACCAAACTGATTGCCTGACTGACAGAACAACCAACTGTCTGAACAACTGTATGAATTGAGTGATGAACCAACTTTATATCATATTACTTTCATTTTTTTAAAAATCTAACAGGAAAGGCTGAAAAGACTTAATCAGAACATTAGTCGAGAGACTGCCAAGAAAAAGCCAGAACTGGATCCCACGCTGCAAATTTAAAATAAATTTGAATGTATATATGAATAATCATTTTGTATGTTAGCTAAAGCCCTGGTCAAACAAGATTGAGAGTTGGTGAGGGTTTGCAGTCACAAATTGTTACAGGGGACACTTTAGATTACGTTCTAACTTTAATAAAATACACCATGCTCACATGATTACTCACTCTCATCCTCTTTTGATTTGGGCTTAGGCCCTGGCCACTCTGAAAACATTGTTTTATTGCTATATTTCCCAAACGTTGGCAAATCAGAAAACATTGTTTTTGCAATGAAATTTAAAATTGAAACAAATATTTTCTGAATTTGTTGGGAAACATCAATGTTTTCAAGGCTGGGTAAATGGGGGAAATTTTCAAATTTTTCTGCAATAATGAGAATGTTTCCTAGTTTTGCCAGGATTGTAAGTCAAGTTTTAGATAGAAATACGTACTTGCAAAGTGTGAAAGATTAAATATTTAGGGAGAATTAACGGATCCAAATACAAGCAATGGGGAAATCGCTGCTCTGGCAAGCGAGAATGTCCATGAGATTGTTTTCAATTTTTATGCCCCCATCAAACGAGAACAGGAATTGCATACGAGTTGTTGAGATTTGAATGAATTTATTACGTGCATAGAACGCATCAAAATTTGAACCAGCTCAAAATTGGTTAGCCTGGATATGTCATTTTTGTCTGCGCGCAGGCTAGAAATTGGTGAGATTTGCATAATTGGTAAGAGTGTAGTCGGAGTCGACGAGTGTTGGCGCAATCAAACGTGTGCGCGAGAGTTTATCAAATAATATATATTTAGCGTGTGAATTGAACAAGTCACATATTAACACTGATGAAGATCCGGACTTTCGGATCGAACGCTTTGCAGTAATAAATTTACGTGGTGTTTCCACAAACAAAAAGTATTATATAAATATATATTTATCAGCATTTCTTCAATCAACAGCTGATCAATAATGATGAGTGAAACGGCTTGACCTTGAGCTGCACTCGAAGCTTCCTGCCGGTAAACAGTGCGTCTTTCATTCGCCGATTATCCGCAGCATCCATTTCTCTTGCTCAATCCGTCCAGAGCTACGTCTTCAAACTTTTATCTGACAATGCGCGTTATTATCAACGCGCAGTTTTTACTGGTATTTGCGCTATATGTCGCGCAAATCATGCAAATTTGTGGTGACGATGATGGAGTTGCCAATATGAAATATGAAATTTTAAAACTCGATGAGTATATTTCCTTGGCAGCGAAACGAGAAATATCGCAAAGCAAAGGTAAGTTTTAAGACAATACTAAATACGATCATTTGGATTGATTTACAAAGAAATATTGGTTAATATGTCTACAAGCATGACTGCCCGTTATATTGCGTTGGTATACATACCACACATTTTGGTATAGAATAGCCAATAGGCGCTTTATTTACACAACATTAACAAAGGTCGCCTAGTGAGAATGTTACCCAATTCAGACAATTCACAACTTTAGACATGCCTAATTACCATTGTTCTAGTTTACAGAATTAAATAACTCCTATACATAATTCTAATATGCATAGTTGCCTTTGTTCTATTCTATGCTTTTGTAAACTAGAACAAATGTAAACTAGGCATGTGAGTTATCTAAAATTGTGAATTTGGTAGCGACCGTAGATCTGGTAGCAACATTGTAAACCACGTTAGATAAATTTGTCTATATATTAAACTAGGTTACCCACAGGGCAGTAATGCTGCCTTTGATAGCAAAAGACAAACTACAGGGTGTTGAACGAGTCCTTCAGAAACATCCTATTATTGTTATCCTAGCCTGCGTAGCGGCTCTCAGAGACTTTCTCTGATAGCCGCTACGCAGGCTATTGTTATCCTTGTTAACCCATTTATTGACAGCACGGCCCTACCACTGACTGAGTATTAAAAATCGTCTGGCGTTGGACAGGGTAAATACTAAAGTCATTACTGTGCTGATGGATTAACAAGAGCCATTGGCAGATAGGTTTGTTAACCCATTTACTGGCAGTACCCTGTACCACTGACGAGTAAAATTTTCTGGCGCTGGACAAGGGACTGGCGCATTGTCAGCTAATGGGTTAAACCACCGTGGTTAAACATAAGATTTGATGCTCCAGGAAATGTAAACAAACTATCAGTGTGACATCCCAGTTTATATATTTATACACTCGGAATATTGATTTCTCGGTAAATACAAAATTATTTTAAAGTACCGGGTGGCCCAAAAAAAAGTACTCCTGTTTGATTCGTAATAACTTCTAAACAAGTAAAGTTTTTAAAGAGAAATAACTTGCATTAAATAGAGGAAGGACTAACTTAGATTTGGATATATTACAGTTGTATTTAACTTAAAAATTCACGGAGATATTAATGTTAAAAATGGGGAGCATATTTTGGAATGTGTCTAAAATTAGCGAAAATCGGCATATCAAATATTAACTCCAGCGTTTGTTTGCTTAATGACATATTAGGCTAACTTGTATTTCAGCGAATTATCGTTAAGGTTTGTAAGGGATATGGCGCAGATTTAGACATCTTACATGTAAGTCTTAGCTCATTGTTTCCTGAAATATGAACGTTCGAAATTATGCAAGTATTTAATATTAGGTCTTTGCAAACTTAAATGTACATGAAAGACTGACCATGGAAGGCAGGCGCTTAAATTTTTCGTATTCTTAAATAGCCTAATTTTTTATGTTTTTAATGGGTTCAAACAGACTGAGTAGATTATTTCTCGGTTAGAGCAGGATGAATATTCTTTATTGAAGGAAATAATATTGCTTTTTGCAAATACACATCACCGTATCAACGCTACTATTTTGTTACATTTTGTTCCAAAAATGTTGCATGTCTCTGGGGAGTTGCAAATTGCTTAATTGTTATGTCTTATGGAGTTGTATGGTTTGATTGTGTTTCATATAATTCTCAGTTTACTCCATAAACTTGCCAAGATTAAGAAATGGCAAAAGAGTTTGGGTGTTCTTAACAAGATTTCAGAACGTTGCAGAAGTTAGAAGAGCTTCACAATTCCGTTGTGACAGCATGCCCTAATTCAGAACTACGAACGATCCAATGACGATCCTTCGCAATGCAGTGGTCTCATGAAATAAGGAAACGTATTCCTGCTAGGAACACACGCGAATTTCGGACGAATGAATCTTGCTTGTATTTTGTAGATATAATAATACTTTGTTTCATAATAAATAATTTGTCAAGTGTCATTTATTTACTGGTAATAGTGCATGTTTCAGTCGGGCAAATCTTGATTAATATTTGATACGCCGATTTTTGCATATTTCAGACACATCCAGAAATATCCTCCCGAATTTAAAGATTAATATCTCCGTGAATTTTTAAGTCGGAAATACAACTGTAATATATCAAAGTCTAAGTTAGTCCTTCCTCTATTTGATGCAAGTTATTTCTCTTTAAAAGCTATACTTGTTTAGATGTTATTACGAATCAAACAGGAGTACTTTTTTTTGGGCCACCCGGTATAACAACCAGCGAAGACGTAAGCCACTAACTACCCTGCGCGGCTGCGCGCAGACTATATAATGACATATATATATTATCCGTCCGGTCCGTCCGTCGCCATCCGTCCGTCATTCATCCGTCCGTCCGTATCCCCGTTTTATCCTAACTCGTTTTTAAAACACAAAGTTTGCATAATTAAGGCAGTGCGGTTCGTCATGATCAACATTTTCAAAAGCGGCCAATTAGACCAGGGGTTAAAGGGCAATGACAATGACATGCAGGTGACATTTAACATTGTGTCTCACTAATTAAAATTTGCGTGTTTATTAATAATAATGTTTATGAAAGAAAGCAAAAATATATACAAGACAATCTCACATGTGAAATTGTTTCACTTCGTACTGCCTTGTGATGCAGTACAAGTATAAACACCAAATGACAAAGCATTTGTAAATCCTAAAACATAATTAAATCATGCTATCGTATTTCAACCGCGCGTTTATACTGCTTGGCGCATTCGCTGCGTTATATTCATTTATATACACAGAAAAGCATGTCATTGTCTTTGCGGACCATAGGCAAAAAGCATTCGTCAACCACATACCAAATTTAAAATTGCAAAAGCACCGCGTATATAAATGGTGAAAGCACCGCGTATAATGCTGGAACCACAGCGTATAATACTGGAACCACCGCGTATAATGGCGAAAGCACCGTGTATAATGCCGAAAGCGCCGCCGTATAATGCTAAAAGCACCCAACAAATTGCCGTTTGATCACTTTAAGCCAGCTATGGCTTTCCATAAAAGAAGACCAAAGATGAAAGATGATCACATTGCCTGTTTGCCTTATGCTCGACCGCGCTGCACCACGGTTAAAATTCACTGGTACCGTCATGCAATGCGCCAAATAGAAAATTTTGATATCGACCCACAAAACAAAATTAGGATCTGCTGCCTTGCTCGCTCGCTTCAGGCTCGCTCGCTGCGGCAGCAAAAAAAGAGAAGATCGATAAGATTCTAAAATATTCAGGTTGGAATCAAACACGCTTTGGTAGAGATCTAATGAGTAATGAGTAATATCAGTCTTATCGGAGTTATCGCTAGTTGTGGTTTTCATTTGGTCATAAATCAGAATGTTTGCTTGTCTTTTGTGTATTATCGTTTATCATGAGAAATTACATGACAGATGGAAAGATTTGTCGGTAGACTGATAGTCTGATATAAAATTAAGGTGGCATAGCCATAGCTCCCTTATGCCTGGTTCACATACACCTGCGGTATATCGGCAGGCTATTGTCGTAGCAGTTCAACCAAATAATTCATCAACAGCTGTAAACAATGATAGCGCAGGAATACGTGAACCAGGCTTTAATTAAAGCCAGTTTTCCACTGTCGAAGTCATTAGTCCCACTCTAGTGGTCAGGAAACGAAGAAATACGCTACGTTTCGGTACGATTGAAGTGGAAAACTGGCTTAAAAGATCGAATAGAAGGAGCATGGGAGATGGAATGATTCTGTACGGAAACTGTCGGAAAGCCTTGACCTCAATAGCATTTCGCGTGTAGAGTCTTTGGTCCGCAGCGGGGTCGCGATTATTCAAGGCGGTGGCCGATGTTGTATACTGTATCTTTCTAGTGGTAATTAACTGTAGCTTCGAGAGTGGCTGGTGTGGATTTCAAAATGAAAAACAAGATGATTTTGACTGGACGTTGACAAGCAAGAGCACTCCAAGTGTTGGAACTGGCCCAAAACACGATATCTCTGGCAAAGGTAAATTCACCCTGATTATATTAGACGAATATCTATAGTGAAGGGTACTTTAGTTCAGATTGTGCCAACTTTTCAGATAGTTATAACTTTCAACGAAAACTGTTGATTAATGTAAGGAAGCCCGTAGGTCGTAAAAAGGGCTTTCCCTCCACTTCAGAGTAACGTCTACGCTATATACCGGATAGCTTTTCGTAGCGACACGAAAAAGCACCTACCCGATAGTCGATACGGAATATACAATATTCAGAAGCTGAGCGAAACAACATCTCTCCGTTGCAATAATTCCTCTGAAAATAACGTTCCTATTAAAAAGGTATGGATTGTTGTTTTTCACGTCGCTACAGAAAGCTTTCTAGTACATTGTAAACGTATTCTAACTAACTTTCCAATGTTTATTGCGATGTTCAGCCGTCTTGCAGTCCAAATTCTGAAAATTATACGTAGTCTAATCCGCGCTTACCACGGTGCAAGAAGATCAACCTCATAATTCCACCCCAAAATCTTGTAACAGACAAAGTTCCAGTCTTCCAGAGCACGCAAATTTATACTGATGTTTTTTGGGCTATTACTGTTCCGTAGGTTCGTACATTCACATCGAAGCATCAGTTCCACGTCGTATTGAAGACACGGCAAGGCTCACAAGCTCTGTTATTCCACCCATGGTATATTGCTTACAGTTTGGTTTTCACGCTTGGGGAGACGATATTGGTAAACTTGCATTGTACAGGAAAGGTCTTGATAATAAACGAGATAGGATTCTGTCCTTGGGTAAAAATCATGGCAAAAATTGGCATTTTGTTTCTGTGACAGTTGTGCATACTTCTCGTTTTGTGGTGAGAACTTTATAATACTGAATGATAATAAATATAGTGCGTCTGACATTTCTAGGCTGCCCTTACTAGCTGGAGGTCTAGTGAAAACCATCTCTTGTTGGTACTAATTGATCTAGTAGACTGACCTCATGAGGAAACTGGAGTACCCGGAGAACTGAAATCTTTGGTGTTTGATAACGTCTGATTGAAGGCACTCTTCTTTGAGTTGTTTCATGCAACTGAGGCGAAATTATAATGAGACCAAACTGCAGAACAAACATGTTCAACCAATTATATATACAATACAATCTGCTTTTATCATAATCATAACCGCCTCCATTGTTTTCTCCACTCGAGAAAGATAGAGTTCGAAGGTGTTTGTGGTAACGGATACAGGGGAGACATTGCGTTGGACAATATCACTTTAACAGAAGGAAAATGTCCAACCATTCAACGGAACAACACAGGTTCGAAAAGTTGAAGTTGTAGAAATTGTTTCTGCTTGTTTCCTCTTGTCTTTTCCCTTTATTTAAACCTTCTTGTGTATCTCGAGTGCCAGTGTAGGTAAAGATGAATATAAACAGCAGTCTTTTGTAGAAGATGCAACTACCTCAAAAATCTTTCGTTTCGACCTTTCGAAACGTCGACAATCTTTTTTTGTATTTTTAGGTTCTTCAAAAGACTGCTGATTCTTCTTGTGTCTACATCTCGTCATCTGTAAGCCCAATCTTTTTAATTCTTATCCTTTGTCTCATCTTATCCTTTGTCTTCCTTTGTCTCATCTTATCCTTTGTCTTCCTTACTTCCTCTGGATTTTTTCCTCTCCCAGGTTTCTTCGACGCCCTCTTTCTTCATTTTCTTTCATCCATTCTCATCAAATATATCAAACTAATTGACTATGCCTAGATCAATGTGGTGTTGGCTACCCCGGATTTAGAAACACAATCCACGGTTTTCCAGCTTATCATGCTTGGCCCTGGTTAGTGTGGTTATCTCCCAATAGCCAGTCTCAACCGTCATGTCCTGGTGTTCAAGTCAGCAGTGATTGGTTACTTACAACACGTGATTGTGCGAGGAAATTTCCGAATTACGACATCACTACATACACAGGTATATGCATGGGTTTCGCGCGTTATATCATTTTTTTGTATACAATTGAAACGACTTTTTCGCAGTTGAAAAGCGCTTATGAACTAAACTGAACTAAAATAGCCTACATTTATACCAGATAGCTCTATCAATTCTAAACTGCCCTCCTTGGAGGTCTATCTTGATTATTTATCCAGTGTTAATACAGGAGGAAACCTAAACTAAACTGCCTAAATTTTTTATGCCGGATAGCTCTATCAGTTCTAAACTGTTCTCTCTATAAGTCTCAAGGGGGCTGGCGGAATACCCAGAGAAATACCGCGGTGAGTGTTAAACACACCGGCCATTTTGTTACCAACATTCCATACCTAATTCGACAGGACATTTTATTAATAGTAAACAAGAAAAAAAGAAGAAATGTTTTGAAGATTGAAGAACGTTCCACTAACACATTGCAACCAGGTAACGCTATCCAGTTCCTCCGAATTTTGTAAATTCAGGCTGTAAATTTTTGCTTGCGGAAAACATATTTAGATAACTGAACTCTCCTGAACTTGCTATCATTTTTAGTTATCCTAAAGCTGACCAACTCCACGTCAACAAGACTGACAGACAAACTTTGCCTTCCTTCAAGTATTCCATTACAAAACCGCGTTACAAATTGTTATCTGTTGGGTAAGCAAACCTCGATTTCATTCTGCAATGCTACGGTAATTATGCAAATGTATAGATGAAATCATGTTTTGGTGGTTTATAGGACTATCAACGCTTGACCATGAAAAGAGTTTTGTGGAATTTCCAGCAATAATTCTATCAACTAGAAAATGTCAACGCGATATACAAGCAGCTTCTAAGACAAATCTGGATCTTACTAGACAGGTTAGTATGTCAATCGGATTGCCAAAACTATTGCCATATTGTTTTCTGTTGTTAATATATTTCATGGCAATTTATATTGTTATTCATAGCTGTGTGTTCAAGTGAACAGTTCGTTCAGCTTCAACGACAGCCAGCTACGCTATGGATATCTTATTTGTAAAAACTCGATTATGAACAGCTGGATACTTCAAGCCATGGGCTCGTTCTTCAACTCTGATTTCAAGCAAAATACTTTGGTGTTGAAGAGAGTTTCATTCGATGTTGATTGGATAGAAAATATCACTAATGTTTCTTCTGTAAGCCCTGATGTCCGACGCTTTACCGTACTAACTCTAACACAAGGTAATGGGAATTGTCATATTGCCAGGATTTTTACGCGTACTGACGTTACATCATCTCCTCAATTTTTCAAGTTGACTATTTTTGGATTTTCTGGTTTAACTTGGTTACGGTCGAGGTTACGGTTAGGTTCAGATTAGGGGTTAAGGCGTTAGGGTAGGGTTTGGGTTAGTGTTTGGATTAGTTTAGCTTAATAATTAAGCTAGGTTTCTACTGGACCTCTATAGGAAGACCAGATTAAAACTGAAAGATGAGTCAAAGATCTATCGGATGCAAATAAAGTTAGTTATAGTTAAGTCTGTCATTCACTTACCCTAAATATTTGTCATCCCAGCTCCAATAACTAAAGGCTTCCAAATCATGGAAAGAACAAATCAAGAATGCCTCACGTTCGAGTCAAACAAACAGAAATTCACGTACACACCTTGCAATAGCCTGGATATCTCGCAGCGTTTTGAATGGACCCGGTATCATCAGCTTGTCACACTTCACTCGAATTCCTGCCTCGAAAATGATGGAACTCATTTTCATTTTCTGCAAACGACTCGCTGCACTTCGACACGGCGTAGTCAAGTCTGGATTTGTGAAGGAAACACTATAACGAATGTTTTCTCCCGTAGTTACATTGCTTCAAAATCTCACAAGCATTTTGGCGTTGTGCAGTTAACTCGAGTACCTGCAAACTTTGGACATTTTGTAATTTTTGGAACGTATGATAATTTGTGCTCATTTCGGCCCACGGGTGAGTTTATGTCTCCACAGTAAAGGAGAAAAATCCAGCTATAACCGAAACACAACACATTGAAATTTTATTGTTTAGTGAAAGGTGTGATGAAATGCGACTTCAATCGACATCGCACATGTGGTTTTGACGGCGTGGATAGTTCTGCTCAATTTATGTGGAGGATTTCTAGAACTGGCTCAAATGAATTCAAGCGATTTCCATTACTAGTGGCAACAGGTATCTCTGCTTTTTTGTACATATGTTCAAATATTTGTGTGAATCCGTGGTATAGATAGTATTCGACATAAGCTGCCGTGTTTGAACTACCAGAAAATGTGACAAGAAATTATTAAAATATTGCGAGAAAAAGGCTTCTTCTTCCTCAGGAGGTTAATAACCACTTCTATATCTTCCTGAAAAATGGCCTCCGCTCGATCTCTTTCATGTAGTTCAGACACAAACGACGGCAGTCTCCTAATTGTGATAGATTTTTGCGATGCCAAACATACAAGGACCTGTCAGTTGAAGGCTGCCAAAGATCAACCACAAAGTAGTGTATTATCTTCAAATGATTCATTCATTGCATTGATATTTTCTTGACAGACAAATTCTTCCGAGTTACTCGGCGCACTAATCGTGGTACCCCTATCGCAGTTTTACGAAGTCCAACATTCCGTGGGCAACAATGTGCAAGGTTTCGCGTCTTTTTTCAAGGCTCATCGCTCAATCAACTCAATGTTTATAAAGATGGGGGTGGGGAGGGTAAAAGTATGTTTCAAAGAAATGCTACGACTGATCATTATTGGCTTTTTCACCGAGTCAGCATTGTACCAACGGCGTGCGAAGCTTTTCAGGTGGGTATAATTTACATTTGATTGTAATATACTTAACTAATTACAGTTAAGGATTTACTACGGTAGCAACCTCGTTTCCAGCAGCAGTGAAGCCCTGGGAACGAGGTTGCTACGGTAGTTAACTACGTTTTTATAGAACCTCCACCCAAGCTCTTTCTTCTACGCTCCTGGAAAGAACATGGGTAAAACGTTGGCTCTTATACAATCGGTCCTAGGTAATATTGTTTCCCAAAAACAAAAGTTAATTCAGGATTCTTTATTTCGTTATTAAAGCCCTTTTAGCGACCTAAAAATCTGTTTAGTGTTTCGCATGTAACATGTGGTTCTTACGTTAGGTTGTATTCGAAGTCGTGTTCTCAGATTTCACTCAATCTAAAGTTGCCATACGTGACATCGTTATCTCTCCTGGTGCGTGTCGCTCCCCTACGAATCGCACAGGCAAGTATTAGTGAGCTTAAGCAAGTGACGTTTTTGACAACACGGACGTCGACCGGAAGTAAAGTTAACGTTTTTCACCAATCACAGCCCTTGACCCAGTCTTCTGACGTTACTCATGCCGTTCGTGTTGTCAAAAACGTCACTTGCTTAAACTCACTATTTACTATCTGGACAGCTCTGTTTGTTCTAAACCGCTCTGGCTACTGGTTCAGTAAGGAAGGGTTGAGATGGATTCAACTAGCTGAAAAGTACATATACAAGTAAATTGTCAACGTTTCGAGCGAAAGCACTTCATCGGGAACCTTCGCTCGAAATGTCAAAGTTTTACTTGTATTTTTCACGCAGTCGAATTCATCTCAATCGTTATTGTCACTGGCTACGCTGGCACAGAAGTAAGGGCCATCCCTTCTGGTTTAATGTTGCTTCAGTGCATGCTTATATAGTAGAGAGTGAGATACTGAAAAATACACAGTGAGATATTTTCCACATCTTCACTAGTGATTAAAGAATTTCATGACATTTCGTGTACATGTAGTCAAAAGTGACCTGGTTGTTTTGCTGTAGATAAAAGTTATGGATGGATGTAAAAAGTTTTTAAAATCTCCCATAATTGGAGATTATCTCTGTGGCCAGTCCCTGCCCGAATTGTATGTAAATTCTGTAAAGTATTAGTCTTATTTATGTCTGTTATGTTTGGCGAATCTTGTAAAAAAAATAAAATAAAATAGTGAAGATATCGATCACGTGACTTTTTCCAATTTGCTTTTGAGCATGAAATTTCACAATTTTTTGCTTGGAACTATATAATAAACAAAACATTACACGGTGGCTTGAAGATATGACTTTTATCTTTTCGTGTTAAAAACAATAGTTTACTCACTCTTAAAATATTGTTTTCACCACTCGAAGATAAAAGTCATATCTTCGCGCCGTCGTGTGGTATCCTCTACATATTGCACGAATCGTACCCAACCGCAAAACCGTGAAAGGCACTAACCACTGTGATCTATATCTATGAATTTACAGACGGTGAATGCCTCAAAGGTTGGAAATTATTCAACGGACAGTGCATGTATTTCCACGACACCAAAGTAACTTGGCACGAAGCATCCGCTGTATGTCACATCGCAGACGCAGAATTAATCACGCACACTGCGGCAAGCGAGGTCATCCCGCGTGGACGTCCCGCATGGTTTGGAGTTCGAAGTTGTCCCATGGGCAGGCTGTACTCAGCACAGGGTGTTCCGTATAATGACACTAGATTGTTTACGACGCCTGCCTGTCTGCGGACTCAAAAGCTTCGTGATGGTAAAACTGTATATCGAACCGTCCAATGTGACTTGAAACTGCCTTTTGCTTGTCAAAAAGGTATACAATTTTCCGAAATATGTATACTGTAGCCTCAGATGATGGATTTCTGTGACTCAACGCTGCTGACTTTGACTTTCACTTTTGTGGTGTTTTTAGATCCAATGACCACTAGGAATACTTGTGGATGGAGAAACGTTTCTGCTGTAAATGACCGTCAGTGGCCGTGGCATGTGATGATAGTTGTGGGTAATAGATGTGTATGTGGAGGGACATTGATAGCTCCTGGACATGTCGTTACCAGTACTTTGTGTTTGTCACGCGTCTGGATATTCACAGTGAAGGTAGGATGAAGGAATAGCTGCTGTTTGATTACAATTTCACCTGGACAACAGTGCTTCCATGTTGTACTTCGGTTTCCAACTGTGGTGACACTTTACCTACAAAGGATGACTCTCACTGGACCTCTGGGCAAAATAGGTTTTTTAAGCTTTCTCTTGTATTAATACTGGAAAAATAAGGGTTGCTCTTAAGGCTAATTTCAACTGAATAAAATTATCCGTGGATTGGAACGACAAGAAAATTTTTCTTTGTCTCGTGAGCTCCGGGTTGGAACTAATGACTTTAATACAAAGAAAAATTTTCTTGTCCGTTCCAATCCACGGATAATTTTCCTAAGTGGAAATTAGCCTTCACTGGACCTATAACCGTATGTATAGGAAGTACAGTTCAGAACTGATGAAGCTATCCAGTATAAATAGAGATAGAATGCTAAACCACGCATTGCTGTGCTTTTTTGGCACATTCTTTTACTCTTCATTATTTAGCTGTTTTTCCCAAGTTCTCGCAAAATGATACGTAAAATTACGCGGGTTATCGACCATTCTATGTCTGGAGTGAAGTCAGGTGACAACGATATCTCTATCGTAATCTTCGAAGACAATCCTTCTGTTCACTTTGCTTGTGTTATGCAAATTTCTCCATATTGGACACATGACGATGACAACTTATTAAAGGGTTTGTTTTACACTGTATTCAATCATGTTTTACACTGTATTCAATCAAAACTGCACAGACATAACTAAACTAAACTTTTGTTGTAACAAGTTTGAAACAAGCCGTTAACAATTTGCAACAAGCTTGATGACATTATCAGACTTGTTACAAGACTGTGCTAACAAGTTTGTTACAGCCGTGATATAACATGCAAGGATGTTACAAGGTTGTCAACACAAGGTTGTCAACACAAGGTTGTAACAATATTGTTATATCAAGCATGTAACGGACTTGTCAGAACAACCTTGCAACAAGTCTGGCTCAATTAGCCTTTCTCACGATGACGAATATCAGTCCGCCATTTTTGGGTGGCATCTAATTCTCGTTAACCAATGCAGACAATTAAGGGGCGGACCATTAGAAATCCCGGGAGGGGGGGGTATAACATTTTTGCGGCACGAATTTTTTTTTCAATTTCATGTCCCTGCAGGAATTTTTTTTAATGCATTTAACCTCTGCACGAATTTTTTTTTAAGACTATTTTTTTCAAGACTATTTTCCCGGAATTTGTTTTGGCGAC